AATCCTAGACCAAACAGGAAGTGCCTTAGAAATCAGCCTGCTGAGGACCCTCCTGGATTAGCAGCATTGCTTGGAAGTAAGCACAACACTGTGTGACTTCAGACTCCTCACTTTTCAGAGATTCAAGTGCATTGGATTCCTTCCTAGCTAAGATAGAGCACCTGATGTGCCCACACCATAGATGGCCAGAAGGAAAGTGACCCAGACAGCAGCCTCTCTCTGAGGGGCCCACGTTGCAGTTCCGGGGGGACACGGGGGCACCAAGAGAACTGCCTGTACACTCAGGCCCTGACTGTTGATCTGCAGCTGTAAGCTGTAGAGACGGACAATTTTGCTTCACTTTTTAATTTAGATAGATTTTGAAGAGCTTCTAAAGAACAGTTGTGTAAATTCATAGATGTATATTTGGAAATTAGTTCTTGTAAACAACTAGATGTAGTTTGAGCTAAATATATAGTTTGTGGGTAGTATGTTACATGTGAAAATTTGACGATTTGTCCAAGTACTGCGATTTTATTAACTGTAAAGAAAATTTATTAGAAGCTGTATGTAGTTTTATAGTAAATGCTTTGTATTAGTTTTAGAGCTCTCTGTTGTTCTAATGTCTTGCTTATTACCTGAGACTTCTGCAAAATTTAAAAATAAGCATTTCTGGGCTGCCTGGGTGGCTCAGTTGTTAAGCGTCTGCCTTTGGCTCAGGTCATGATCCCAGGGTCCTGGGATCGAGCCCCACATCAGGCTCCCTGCTCAGCGGGAAGCCTGCTTCTCCCTCTCCCACTCCTCCTGCTTGTGTTCCCTCTCTCGCTGTGTCTCTGTCAAATAAATAAATAAAATCTTAAAAAAAAAAAAATTTGTATATTGAAAATCTCTCGGGGCACCTGGGTGGCTAAGTCAGTTAAGCGTCTGCCTTCAGCTCAGGTCATGATCCCGGAGTCCTCGGATCGAGCCCCTTATTGGGCTCCCTGCTCAATTGGGAGTCTGCTTCTTCCTCCCCCTCTTCCTCTGCCCCTGCCCTCTCTCAAGTAAATAAATACATTATGTAAAAAAAAAAAAGAAAATCTCTCATTTTACTGTTCCTTTCTTTACAACCAAAGTAATTGTTTTTACTGTTCACAAGAGAAAACTATAAGCCCCATTTTTTTTCCCCACTTAGAGTAAATTTTTGGCTCTTGTCTCTTTAGTCTCTTTTTAAAAAAATTTGAGTTATAATTTACATCTAGTAAAATCATCCTTTAGTGTCCGGTCTGTTGGTTATGTAAGTATCAATATATGGGACAGTTCCATCACCCCAAATATTCCACTGTATCCCCGGAGTCCCTTCCCTTATCCCCAGGCAACTGCTGTTGTTTCTGTTCCTCATTTCTAAAATTTTAAATTTTTTAAAAAATCCCCGTTTTGATACAGTTTTGAGCTTTGACAAATGCAGAGTTGTGTAACCACCACAAGATTCAACACTGGTATCGCCTTCCCCCCAATTCCCTCCTGGTTAAATCCATTCCAACCGTTTACCTTGGCAACCACTGCGCTATTCGTTACCCATATAGAAGTTCACGGACTTTTTCTGGAAAGGGCCATATAGAAAACATTTTAAGATCTGTGGGCTATATAACCTGTCACAGCTGTTGAACTGTGCCATTGTAATAGAAAAGCTGCCATAGATGATACAGAAAGGAATGAATATGGCTTATTTCAGTGAAGCTTCAGTTCTGGACACTGAAATTTGAATTGTATAATTTTCATGGGTCATGAAATAGTCTTCTGATCGTCTTAAAACATTTAAGAATGTAAAAGCCAGGGTGCCTGGGTGGCTCAGTCGGTTAAGCGACTGCCTTCGGCTCAGGTCATGATCCTGGAGTCCCGGGATCGAGTCCCACATCGGGCTCCCTGCTCAGCGGGGGGTCTGCTTCTCCCTCTGACCCTCCCCCCTCTCATGCTCTCTCTCATTCTCTCTCTCAAATAAATAAATAAAATCTTTTAAAAAAAAAATGTAAAAGCCATTCTTAGGCTTATAGGCCGTACAGAAATGCAATGGGCTGGCTTTGGCTCGCAGACCGTGGTTTGCCGACCTGCCTTTCCCGTGTCGCATAAATGGAACTCTACGGTACAGAGCCTGTGTGTGCAGCTTTGGTGACGTGTAACGCACAGGAGAGTCACGTTCCTGCGGGTCCCACTCCTTATTGCTGAGTAGGCTCCCGTGGTATTGATATGTAGTAGTGTTTCTCCGTTCCCCAGGTCAACGGATAATTCCCAATTTGGGTTGTTTCCAGTGTTAATGATTACAAATAAAGCCCTAGAAACATTTGTGTACAGGTTTTGTGTGAACATAGGATGTCCACTTGAGTGAACATACTTGAGTATATACTTAGGGGTGGAATTGTGTATTTAAGTTCATAAACTGCCAGACTTAACAAAGTGGCTGGACCATTTTGCATTCCCACCAGCAGTAAATGAATTTCAGTTGCTCTGCATCCTCTGCAAAACTTGGTAATTTTTTTTTTTAATTTTAGCCATTTTCATGGGTGTAGGCTTTAATTTGCATTTCTGTAATGACAAATGTAGAGCATCTTTTTATTTGCTTATTTACCATATTTTCTTTGGTGAAGTGTCCAAATCTTTTGCCCATCTTTTTATTGGGTTTTCTTTTTGTTGAGTTTTGAGAATTTTATGTATTCTGAATATAATCCCTTTGCTAGATTATGGGATTTGCAAATATTTTCTCCCAGTCTGTAGCTTGTCTTTTCCTTCTCTTGACAGCATCTTTCAAAGAGCAGAAATTATTATTTCTCTTTGAGAAGTTCTTAATTTTGAGGAAGTCCAGTATGTCAGTTTTTTTCTCTGGGGATCATGCTTTTCTTGTATCTAAAAACTTGTCATCAAACCCAGTCACAAAGATCTTCTCTGTGTATTTTTTTTTGCGTGGAGCCCAACATGGGGCTTGAACTCCAACCCTAAGATTAAGACCTGAACTGAGATCAAGAGTCGGACAGTCAACCGACTGAGCCACCCAGGTGCCCTGTGTATCTTTTTAGTTATTGTTTTTATTTAAACAATTATCTTTTTAAAATGCCATGCATGGCCCCTAGTATCTATGCCCCCAGTAACATGTTGCTGTTTAAGAAATCCCCAGGAAAAATAACCAGCTGAAACATTCTTACCACATCCTAAGCACTTCAGATCCGGTTATTTAGGGAGCCCCCCCTCCTCGGATTCTCCTTGAGCCACACACCCGTCTTGTTACACTAGCGTCCTCATTATCTCTAGAGCCTCACTTCTATATTTGTATCAGGTTACCAAAACAGTTGATGAAGATTAATCTTTCCTAGTCAGAAATGTTAAAAATAGCTGATATTAAAGTGGCTACTGGGGGCCACACCTCTTCTACTATTGTGTACCTGTTCATTTAATCCTCCCATAACTTGTAAAGTGTCCGTGTTTTACAAAGAAGGGGATGGAAGCTCGGGCTAAGGAACTAGTCCAGGACACACCTAGGAGGTGGTGGAATTGGGATTCAAATCGCAGACCGCATTCTTCACTGGACCATGCAGCTTAAAAAAAAAAAAAAACCCACTTTCTCCCCACTCTGTGTGGGGTACATTCTTAACTTGGCCATTAAGAACCTTCATACTGATCTTACTCTACTTTGTATCCTATGGTTTTCCTAGGGAAACCTTCCATTCCTCCTGGTATGAGCTCCTCATCCTCTGTGGAGCATAAACACCCTCTAGTCAAGCGGCTTTCTCTTCTGAAGTTTTTTCCTAATTCATGTAACACCGTCATACAGGTTTTTTTTTTTAATTTATTTTAGAGAGAGCGCACAAGCAGGGGGAGGGGCAGAGGGAGAGAGAAACCCAAGCAGACTCCACGCTAAGCGAGGAGCCCGTCTCAGGGCTCAGTCTCACCACCCTGAGAGCACGACCTGAGCTGAACTCAAGAGTCGGATGCCCAACCGACCGAGCCACCCAGGCACCCAACCATCATACAGTTTCATTTAATTAAACAGCAAGAATGTCACAAGGTGAGCCTGTATGTATTAAGTAAAGAGATTAGAGATCTCTCATCATTTTCTTCTCTTCCAGCTTCAGCTAGCGTGTCCCAGGGCCAATGGCACAGAGGTGCTGTCTGGTTTTAGATACTAAGTAAGCAAGAAGTACAGGGTCCTGGATGTCTAAGCGAGGGGTGGGGTGGGGAGAACTTCATCTTGATTTTGTTAGAAAAAACAAAACAAGACTAGAACAAAATATACCAGAAGTTTTAAGAATAATTACCTATCAGTGTTGTGGGTTATAAATAATTTAAAATTTCATCTTCATGTTCATCTGAATTGTCAACATTCTCTATAATTAATACATGTTCTTAAAAATAAAAAAATAGCTTTCAGCAAGAACAAAGTCTTGGCCTGCTTTAGCGACAATGTCCATTTGGCATCCTAGGATTTTCAGCCATTTTTTGGCTCCCTTACGTCCACCCCTTCTTTCCCAACAAGCTCATACTCTTACAGTGCAGACAGTGGAGGTCATGGACAGCCCAGAGTGGGGCCACCAGGGTTGCAGAGTGGTAGCAGTACGTGTAACCCCAGCCCGGGCAGAGGGAGTCACGACCCACCAGGATGCGAACCCTGGATGTGGTCAGCTCGGACTCCTCCCACACAACACAGACCTCAGGGCAGGGCTCGCACTGCTCTTGACTGGGGCTTCGTTGAACAGCTTTTTACTTCCTCCTTTCTCGTGGCTGCTAGAGTAGAAACACCCCACTCCTCCTAGATACCAGTTTTATTTTTCCGATTCATTCCTGTGGTTTTCATCCCCAAACCCGAATTCTCAGGGAATAGTGCCCACCTCTTCCGAATACACTGTTCAAGGAATAGGTCCAATACTTGCAGACTAGGCCTCTAGACATCCGTCATGGAAGGCAGGCTCCCCCCTCGGAAACCTGGAATCTTAACTTGTGCAGAAGGAAGTGCCCAAATCTGTCAGTAATTGAAGATCTTTGGGAGAGGCAGCTGTAAATATGAGGAATTTTATTTTATTTTTTGCTGACATACTATGAGGCAAAACAAAATTGACACCATACAAAATAACTTTATAAAATATCATTCACATCATATTTTATCAGATTTACAGCATTCTGTGCATGTTAAGGGTTATGTAAGGAGGTGAAAAAACACTATGCCAAACTTTTAGTATTAGTTTATATACACACAGTAAGAAACAAAACAAGTTAACTGTTAGGTTTTCCATGAATTTATTGCAAAAATAGTGCAAACTACGTAACCTAGTAAGCTGTAAAACAAACTCGAAAGGACCCAGCTAAGCTTAAACACGACAATAGATGCTCAGTGTCTCAGCCTTTAGCTCTCTTCACCGGTTTATCTTTTGTCAATCCAGACCACTCCCCATCTGCTGGGTGAGGGTGAGTGCTGGGGATGGAGAAACGCGAAGACTGGCTCTTCGGAGACCAGAGCCGTCCGGCTGCCTGAGGCCAGGGATTCCTTTAGGATCATGCTACTTACTCAATGGCAATTCTGTGAGGTCTGTGTTGAAAACATTCAGATGCCATCATGTCTAAGTCCGACCTTAGGAGGAAGTTCTCCAAACCTCTTGATGACATGGAGAAAAGAATTAAGAAAGCAGCATGAACAGAAAGGACTGGGAACATTATTGTCTGCTTGCATACACGGTACCCTTTTTCTCGGGTATATTTGGGTAAAGTAGTATTCTACTGGTGGGCAACCTTTGAACCAGATACTGGAGTTGAAAAGACAAAAACAAAGGATACTGTGTCCCGACAAGAGTAACTTTAAAATTTCTTTCAACAGTCTATTGGGGTCCAAAAAGCATAGATCTAAAAACAAAATAATAAGAGCAAAACAATGCTACATATAAAAGCTAAAGAAACAAAATGCAGCATATTCAGGTTCTTTTTCTTGAGGTACCTATATAAATTTAATCACCTGCCCCAAAGTACTCTTGTTAGGTCAAAGAACAAAATGCTGACTGGTGAGCCGATTGCGGGGCACTCATCACTACTGAGAAAGTGCAACGATGCTGATCTCTATATGCAGCATACTAACTGGGGAGCGACTCTACAAAACAGCTGAAGTACTGACCTGATGGACGCTTAACAATGAGAACACTTAACTAGAATCATCCCATTTTGTTTCGAGATCCTGCAGCAAAAAGCCTCCCAAATCAACTTTCAAAAGTTTTGCCACTAAGGAATGTTGGTCCTCTTGTAAAATTCAGAGATCTCTTTAAAATAGTAAAACTATATACTACAGGAAAGAGCCCTACTTTTTATTTCTTATTGGTATAAAATCAAATTCTTAAGACTCCAAAATATTGTGTTACCTCCAAAGAATTAAGTTAAAAAAGATCACCATAGTAGGAAAAGTCTAGAATTGTAAACTGCCAAATATAAAAGCATGGAAAATCATCGATCTCCTACCTTAGTTTCTCACCTGCCAGAAAGCTTGCCTAACTCATGGCGACCCCGGGCCTGCTGCTGAGTGCAGGCGTGCCGCCCCCTCCAGCCGGCCCCCCGCACCCCGCTTCCCCCGGCTGCCCGCGGGCGCAGCACCTGCACCAGGATGGACAACAGTCCACTGGCTGCACGGGAAACACAATATGCCAGGGGAGCAGGGGGCGCGGATGGCCACACAAGCCACAGGAGGAGCGCGCATGAGCTGTTCGTGGCTGCCTCTTCATTGGCACAGAAAATGAAGAGAGAGCTGTCGGTATGTGCATAGAAGAGCTTGGAATTTGTTTGTAAAATGTTAATTTGCTCTTGGACATTTTTTTCTTTTCTTTTCACAAGAGGGCAGTTGGGATTTCAATAGACGTGACTAGTTGGCTGGGGGTAATCTATCAAATTCCATGGCCAATTGGGCTTTTCTCCCCACCTGCAATAGAAAACACTCCATTTCATATGGATTTTTTTCAATGCATTAGGATTCAACACAAAAGGCACAAAATAAATAAAAATTTATTAAATAAACGGAAATTATGGTTTCAAGCTTTGTGTGGAGTTATATCTTGCTGTTTGGTTACTTTTTCCAATTTAATTTGACAGACTTAGTAAATAGCACCCAACTGTTTAACTGAGGTAGATCCACATTGTAAAGAAAGCTGGGTCCCCTCCATTTTATGTCTAAATTTAAGATGCTTTTACAAAAACAAAAATCCATATAACCCTATGCAGAAGCGATGGCAGGTGGCAGTACCTGAAGAAAGCTTGGAACGTGAGCAGGTTAGCAAGTAAGACTGATGCCCAAATCATACTCTCCATCAGCCATAAATAAATCTCAGACTGGAGGGAAAAAAGCCAAACCTTTAAAAGTAACCCTGAAAAAGTCTCTAGACTTTCAGAATAGGTCTTCTTGACTGACTGCCACCGAAATGCACAATGGTCCATTTTCATCAAGCAATGGCAACAGCCCAGACAGACCAGAAAGAGCGAGCGAGCGAGAGCGAGAGATCTGGATCACTGAAAGTTTCCCTTTGTAACTCTGGAGAAAAGACTGGTTGGATTATGATATAGCATCTTGATCTGAACAGTTTAAACTCACTGCCTAATATTTTTGCATACTCTGAAACTTACAATTTAACATCTGATTAAGGCTTGAGTTACAGTGGCATTACCACCTAGCATCATGCAAGCATTGGACATCCTCAACACACAGGGAATGGCATGAAACGAGAGACAAGGACGTGAAGCCTCAGAAGTGTATTTAGCAGGTACTATAATTTTATAACGAGTTTTACAATTCATGTAGCAAATGAGAAATCATACAGAGAGGCCAATGTATATAAATACTAGTTTATACAGGAACTTTGAATTTACAAAACAGCACTGCACGGGTTCTCTACCACAAGCACAAGACGCCGTTGCAAGAGACCGGCCGCACAGCTACGAACGGGTTGCAGACGGTACGCACAGGACCGCCCGACGGGCGCCCCTGTAGCTGCTCAGCTTCTTAGAAAACAGTAAACTCCCAATGGTCACGATACAGTTCGATTCAAAATATCTTCTAAAATGTTTTATTGTGGGGGAAATTAAGAAGGGGCAAGCAAGATCCACCCATGGAACTTCTGAATTCATTTTTGGTTCTTTTTCAATTATTTTATAAAAATAAAATAAAACTAGAAAAGTTGATAAAACTCAGGGTTAAAAGCCCTCCATACGTATTCGGTAAGTAAGCCGCAGTGTACCAGAGGTAAGACAAATCTGCATGTAGACACTACATTCTTTTCTTGTATTTAACGAGTTCGCCACCCTGCTGCACGGAAACTTACAATTATGCTCTTAAAACTTTTTAAAAAGTAAAAACTCACTTGCCTCTACGGTTATAAAATATGAATTCATACCTTCAACAACTACATTAAAATCCACTATCAAACTCAGGACTCAAATTCCAATTTAGTGCTAAAACTACATACCTTCAGGAGTTCGGTCACATGTATATTTGGCTTTGAAGAGGAACCCAAAATTAGTAACATATCCTCCCCTCTGCAGCGGGCGCCTCTGCCGAGGGAAAGACCTTTGCCTTTCAAAATGGACAGCTCAGTAGAAGGAAGGGCCAAGAGGAGCCGCCAAGAATGAGTTTCTATGCATTTTAAAAATAAATAACATTGGATTATTTCCCCCACTTAAAAGCAATAAAATCATCCCTTGACAGGGTAAGGTGGTTTTTGTTTTTGTTTTTAATTAGACCATCAGCCAAGGAACTGCTCAGTACCTGGCTTGGAAAAGTTAAGAGATAAAAAATGCATTTTAGGCATGTCAAAACTGGGAGTCCTCTATGCACAGCTCACCCAAGTCAGCAGCTTCCCCGCACACCACGGAACAGAGCGACACGAACAGAAAGCATCCCCGAATAAGGACAATAGGACTGAATAGCACCTTATGTCTGAGGACTTCACACGCAATTCACAGAGACACGATTCCAATTCCTCTTCTAGAAACCTAGTTCCAGGACACTAAATATTTAGCTTGGTGAATGACTCCGAGGACAAAGCCACCAGGTTCTGCCGATGGCCACGGTCAATGCCTGACTAAGAGATGGATCTTATGCGGATTTCCTGGAATCCCAGTGGACGTGGACTTGGGAAGGAAGTCCTGCGACTACGAGAACCTCACGTTTTCCGACACGAGGCAGTGTGCGCGGGCATCACAGTTTACTGAGTCAGGAGCTGAGGAGCAGACACAGCTTCAAAGGCAGAAGGTCAACGACTGACTTGTGGAATGGTACAGGCTTACTTCCCAATAAAAACACAGCCCCAACATGATTCCAAAAGGACACTGAGGACCAGACTTTAAAGGCACAGAGGCTGAGACTGGGTCTTCCAGAACACGCTCAGTCTGGTACTGATGGAGACCAGAGGAAGGCCTGGTGCCGCCTGCTCCCAGGGTCTGAGGGACCTGCCCTCTACCCCCGCCCCGAGATCATTCCCACAGTCTCTCTAGAGTTCCAAGGAGCCTCGGCTCCCCAACGCGAGCACCTAGTTCTGCCAAGTGGTGCCAAGGAGCCAAGCAGTCAGCCTGCATCGCACCCCTGACCCGACTGTGTGGGGGTGTTCTTGGGATCAACTCATGGTTTTAAGGACCTTGATTCAGAAGGTACTTACTGGAGGGCAGCCTCAACATCTAGGTTCCTGGAGACACTTGCGGGGGGAAGAGTTAATATTTGGTGTTTTAGCTTTAACTCTGAACTACTTAAATCCAAGGAGGTTGTAAATAGAAGATAATTCGGCCTCCTCCCACCCCCCAAAAAGGGAATGGGAGTGAGGTGAGGATTCGACTCTTCAGTCATACCACCAAGGGCATTTAAAGATGCTAACACATCTAAATGTTTCACATCGACCAATAAGAGAAAAGTGTTAACAAAAGCACCAGTAATCTTCAGTTCCCTCTTCTCAGATAATTTCTCATGAATGCAAAGATGGTGGGAGAGGCCCACCCCGGGATTCTGGAGACATGTATGCAAAAAGCTGAGGGGTAGGTCTGAGTTCAACAGTTCACATTACGGAATCAAGGAGAGGGCCACTGTGCAGTGTCCCCCGAAACACCCTGAATGGGATTCTGGTTGAAAATGAGGCCAACGCAGAGCACCCAAGCAGTTCCAGAAGCAGGTCAGCAGATGTGGCTACCCGCCCAAAACATCCATGCATCTTGGGGTGGGCTGTATCTACAAAACAGTGTAATCGCAGAAGTACAAAACATTCTTAGAAAGACTGCAAAGGACACTTAGCTCTTTCAGAATTAAAGCACGCCACGAGGCATGAAAAGCATCAAAACCCAAAACAACAGTGCTAAAGGCAAAACCTTCCCGGTAACGTCATACTTGGAACCTCTCTGGGCCGACGTCAGTGTCTGATGAACGTCCAGCGAGGGAGCAGAGCAACCTCCACGCACCCAGATGTCTGGGACTGCACAACCACCTGCCTGCCCCTCAAGAATTTAAGCGCAAACCAATGGAGGTGTTTTGGAGCAAGTTCGAACCCTCCAAAGACGAGAGAACGTAGAGAACCTAAAGACGAGACGTGAAGGAGGGGGCAGAGGGGACACTGACAGACCCACACACAGTGTGTGGGCAAAGGACATCCGGACAGCAAAGTGGCTGATCACAAGGAGGGGTACCCCGAGCCCGAGCAATCTCTGTCGGGGCAGACTGCCTGTCAGTTAGCATCAGAGGACCCAGGGTGCCGGCAGCGGGAGCTCCTACTTCAGTGCTGGCTGTGGACCCCGCGTTCCTTTCCAACAAAGGGCCCTGGACTCGAACAGAACATTTTGCTTTTAAACCGCAGGTCATGTTTAAGTAGGAAATGATGGTAACTCAAGGTTCCGAAGTCAAAGATCAACTATAGCTGCGTGTTTTTTTGAACCATACAGCCACTTTAGATGCATTATTTAGAGAGTTGGTGTTCCAGCACCTTCGTGATTTTACAGGGTGTATAGAAAGGGAGAAGAGTGCAGAGGGAGCCATTTCCAACCCATTCATGAGTAAAACAGAGAAGAAAGTGCTTTCTTACAGCAAACAGGAAAGTGAAAAGCCAGGACAGCAGGCCGTTTCAGGGCTCCCCCACCCCTGGCCCTGCGTGGAGATGCCCCCGCCAGCCTGTGAGGACGGCGCGGGAAGCTTTTCCATTTTCTGCCCGCTGGCTGCCTAGAACCCTACATTATTGAGCTGGGCAGCCCTGAGGAGTCCCCGGTCCGCCTCTGATACCCCCGAGGGCGAGAAGGGGACTGCCCACGGGTCACAGTATGGCACACACATTTTCAAGCCAGAACTGAAGAGAGAGAGATGTTCGCCATTCAGTTTATTCAGGCAACATTTTGGCTATTTTCAGTGTGGATAGCTACGCTTAAGAACAAGCATGAACCTATTGAGAATTCAGAGGTAGCCTTTATCTGCATTTCTTTCTTTTTAAACTAAAAGGTATTTAGAAACCACCTTCTGTAGTGATTTGGCTAAGCCAATACATTCACTTTAGACAATAAAATGGCAAAACGTAACCAACAAAGCATTAGGGAGGGCACCGCGATGGCATCAAACACACACTCATGACCGGTTCGGGTCTAAAAGCTCCTGTGTGTGTCCGATTCTGGGTAGCCTGACCACGAACAATGACACACTGTGGGCTGGAGCATGTCCTTCTAATCTAGCAGTATCGCAAGGCATAAAGGAACAGCACTGGATTTCAGGTCTCTCCGGCATCTATCTATGTATGGGATAAGCCGCAAATGACACTTTTGACACCACAGTGATCTCACGTCTTCAGAACGGTGGCTGACCAGAGAGAGAAGCGAGGGGGGCCCCTCGCTAGCTGTCTGTTCACACTGGCCACGCAGGGGCTTCCTATCCAGACCGTCAGATGCTGGATGGGACCGGAAGAAAACGCATCAAGGAGCCATGGGAAAACAAAAAGGAATTAAACAGACCCAAAAGTGTTCAAAGGATTTATAATGAATCCTCTTAAAATCAAATCTTCAGACCTCAAGGGGAGAGCGGACTCTCCTTTCAACAGACTGCAAACTTCCTTTCTGTGAAACAAGAACACGAGGCTCGTTTGTCCTTCATGAATGGTCAACAGACGCGGTTATGGAGGCAGAGCAGAGCCCACGCGGCTCTAACACATAATACTGGAAACGTGGCCGTCCCTACAACAGAGCGACGTGTTGTGTTCATATCATTTTTGCTAACCTAAATCTATTTACAATCGTTTCAAACAAGTACAGCAGATGCAAAGTTGGACATAATAAAAAGGAAGTTGTCAAAAAATCAGTGCAATTATTTTGAGTTGAAAATTTTCCTTACAAAAGAGTCAGCATGTGTGTGTCAGAGAGTTAACACGTGCACCGTGTCTACACTGAACACACGTCACTGCAGCCGAGCCTGCAGGCAGGGCGGCTAGAGAGATTCTTCTCGGTTACTTTGGGGAAGGGTTTAAAATATAAATAAAATATTTGCATTCTGAAAGTGAGGCGCACAAACACTGAGGAAGTTTCTGTTTATTGTACATTCCTTTCTCATGAGCGTGAGAGATGAGTCAGAGAGAGGTCACAGGGAGATTTCTATGGCTTGTCTGGGCCACTGGGATTGTCCACTGTCTGGATTATGTCAACTTCTAAAGCTCCTCCTAATGGAACTGCCTTAAGTGTGGAAAATGCCCATGAAAAATCCTTTTAACTGTCCACCAGATCAAAGTCCCGTTGAAGGAGTACATCCAGATCCTGACGGCTCCACGAAACAAGCCAAGTGCTTCCATGACGACGAGCAACCGAGAGAAGCCGTCCCAGCCCCCCAGGGCCCCCAGAGACAGTCTGGGTCCCAACTACTGCAGGACGCTTGGCTGGTCTACCCTTAACATATTGTATCAAATATATAATTTGACTGAAAAACTGCCTTGTAAAAATAAAATTTAAATCACCCTGCAGATCAATGTAAAATTACATTGCTGCATATATAAGAAAAACAATTCATTCAGAAAAATTACATTTGTGGCTTTCAAAAATAAATCATCCGGCAAACTTGCAGGTAAACATTCGGCAATTTATAAAAGTTGGGGAAAATAATTGCTATCATATCCATCAGGTACCACATGCACTGGGATATCCACATCGGCCAAATCGAACCAGAGCAGAAAGAAAAAAATAAATAGCAACATTTGCATTTAACAACAATAAAAATAACATATAATATAACATCAGTAAAAGCAACCCCCCCTCCCCCCCCCCCCCCCGGCTGTAGGAACTGAACTCCAACTGTCTTTTCCAACGAGCACTCCGTGACCAGGGGTAAACATCAGTAATAGCAGTGACCGCGGCCAACCTCCCAGAACACGGACATCACTCCGCTCCTGCCGCGTCCCTCTCGGGCCAGCCTGCTCAGTGGCCAGGGGTCGCCTGTGTCTCTAGAGAGCAAACATTCATCCAAGGGAGTGTGAGAACACTACCGAAAAGCAACGTCACCTTAAAAAGTAAAAGCAGACCCTACGATGTTGTATCAAAAGTGTGTATGGGAAGACTTCTCAAAACCAAAACCAAAACCAAACAATCCCTCTCTAAAAGCACACGTGTGCCCAGTTTTACAAAAATGCATCAGAACTAGGGAAGTCTGAGCTTGGAGAACACAGGCAGGATGGAATCTCGGCATCACCAAAGGGCACTTCCACGACGCGGCGGCCGTCCTCGGCTCCCCTGGGCTTCCTTCATTGCTCTGTCACTGGGGTGATGGGAGGGCGGACAGAATGGACAGTGGTGAAGGGGTGGGAACGGTCATTCTTCTTAAAGTGAACATTTTAAAATCTACTAGGAAGAGTACCAGTAAAAGAATCTGATCGGGAGACCTCTTTTAAAGAGACGAGATAAATCCCAGTTTTTCTTTTAAATGAGTCCAGATTTCTACATCATAATTTTCACATTCAGTTTGCTTAAAGCAAGGCACACCTTACTTAACAGTGGGGTAGGGCAAAGCCAGCGCGCAGACGCCTCTCAAATCTGCAAGGGCCCCAGGCCTTGGGCGACCAAGCGCAGGCGGAGGACGGAGCTACCCCGGGAGCCTGAGCCCTCTTGGGGCCACGGAGGCCGAGGCAGCCCTTGGGGTGGGAGCAAGCGCAGTTAGAGACGGGCAAGGGCCCCTTCTGGCTTCCACGGGAACTGGGCTCAGACTTAGTCTACTGCACTTTGAGGTTTTACGCTATCTCAAAATTTATCCTAATAATGGGGGCACCGGTAGAAATTTGGGAAAACAATTATTTACCTGAGAAATTGTAACTACAGCCATTTGAATTCTGAATCATCAGATGCGTACAAAGGTGTGCAGCTAAGCTAGCTGGAGACGTTTGGTCTATTAATGCTTTTAGTATTAAAAGTTTTATAAAACAAGCACAGGGCTACGAAAAGAACCCTTCTCAAAGTACTCTGGCCCATTAAAATTAAAACCTTTCCTTCAAAATGATAAAAAAAAATTTCCGATCTAATTTTCTGCCAGCATGCGATCTCTCCTGGGTGTTGCCTTCACGAGCATCTGCCTGTGCTGCCAAACGGCCCCTCCCCGCTGGGCCCTCGTGCTCGGGGGAGAGGGCTCCTCAGAAAGCTCTGGATCAGGGGTCCTCAGACTTGAGGCAGCCCTGGAGCCCCAGCTGATGGTATCAAATACAGACGTCCAGCCCCGGCCCCGGAGACCCGGGGTCAGGAGTCTGCATTTTTACCAAGCACCACCACCAGCCCAACCACCCGGACCCTGTTGCGGGAGTAAAAACACACCTTTGAGACACATGGTTCTAGATGATCCTAAAGATGGCTGAAAACTAACCTAATTTTAGATTTCAAAAGTGTATTAGTGAAAAGACTCCCCCCTTAGCTGGAATGCTCCTGGTAATTTAAGCCAAGAGTGTATTGGTGTCCTTCTGAAAGAGGAGAAAGTGCCACTTGCCAATAAAACAACAGGGAATTGCAACATTTCTTAGAGCAGAGGCTTCTGTTCGTTTAAAAAGACCGAAAAAAAGAAAAAGAAAAAGAAAAAAAACCCAAACAAACCCAGAAACAAAAGATACAGCAAGAAGAGGCTAATGCCATTAATAAGACACCCACATGCACACACAGACACACACACGCACACATCACTCTGAGTATATATCTTCACAAATAATAGTCACCCCTTTGTCATCGCCACCCAAATCTCGGCCGAGTGTCCACCACCGCTCCGCCACGGTTCCCTGCCCCTCCCGCGCCCCAGAGCCGGCAGACAAGAAGACAGGGTGGGCGCTATCTCCAGCACGAGGCGCCCCGTCGGGACCCTCGCCCCACCGCAGTGCCAGAGGTAAATGTCAGGCTGGGCTTGGGGGGGGGGGGGGGCCGTCAGCAGGGAGAGGGAAACCGACAGAGCACAAAGCAGCACTAGGGGAAGGCGCGTCTCCTTCCCGGCATCTCTACACTGAACGTGGATTTGATTTTTTTTTTTTTTTAATTGTCTACAAGGACAAACAGCCCACTTAGCACAAACAGAGTTGTCCGCTGTTACCCCTTTTCAAGTTGTCCATGGTACCACGCTTAGTGCCACGGTTTCTAGATGGGCAAACCCACGTCTGGGGCCCCGAACGCAAATCCCTTCTGCCGGCCTCGCAGCCCGCCACCTCCGAGGGCCGGGGCTCGCCGCAGGGCCGCCAGCTCTCTGCGCGTTTCAGTGCATAGATCCTACGAAACTCGTCTAACAGAACCATACACAGAGAGAGGGACACTCTGACACATGGACTTGTTTCCCAGGAATGGAAGAATAAATACATTCCGTTTGTGCTTCATCGGCTGAGCAACACGCGGGGACAGGAGGTGGGGCGGCGGCGGCGCGGGGCCGCCGTGCCCGCGCCCAGTCCTCCTGAAGGTACAAGGCTACGCAGTCTACGCGGGGGAAGGCGGGTGGCGGTCACATTGACTCAAGTGCATACTCCTGTACGTCAGCACTGAGAACCACAGGAGGTGGTCCAGTCACCAGGCTCCCAAACACTCGTGATATGCTAAACAGATCACAATAAGCACCCCGTAGTCAATAAAATGAAAAACAGCATCTATCTATCACATTAATACTGCAAACCAGATATATATATTTTTTCTCTTACATTAAAGACATAACAGTGAAAAAGGATTGTACTGTATTTATCACCACAGACCCGTATTCTTTAGAAACTTTGGAAAATAAATGTCACAGTCCTATAGGACAAATCTTATGATTAGACTGTCAGCATACTGTCTTTTTTCTTTTTTTAAATAAATTTTTATTAAAATGGCACTTGTCTGCCAATCGCTCTGGACCTATAAATGTTGTAAACACACACGGCCCATCTTCTGCCCCCGCTCCTTATTTCGAGCTGAGTGAGAGGCGGGCAGTGGCGGTTCTAGACGCCGGTGGGCGCCTCGGCGGGCCACCTGCCCTCGGTCCCGAAGAGCTGGCGCCAGCCCTGTCAGGGGCACCCTAGTACCACTCTGACATAAACTTTAGTGACCACCTCAGAATGCTCAAGGCTTTAAAACCACAGCTGTGCTCTGTGTTGCTTTCACTCTCTGAGAACGTTCACAGCTAGTTTGAGCCCACCAATTCCATAGAGAATCATGTGTTAAAAACAAGTAAATTGAATGACCAAATAAATTAAAAATGTTTTAAAGCCCTGAGTTCATAGACTGGTTTTAGGAGATTTTTAGGAAACACGGGACTCTATTTTAATAAGCAGCTTATAGATTTTGGCAAACCATATTTCCTACGACAATGGGGTCTCATACAGGTCTGCAGTTCAAAATCCAAGTTTGAAATCTGGGACGGAAGGCATTCTGGAAAATGGAGAATCTACTAAAATCAATGACGTCTCATGTTCGATGCTGGCTGTCACGGAAGGGCTGGGCATCTGTTGGTCTGAGTGTAGCTGGTCTCATGTGAATCCAACTCGGTACACAATCGTAAACACTAAAACATGTCAAGCAAAGTACATGGTGCGCAGGGTGTCCTGATGAACCTGGACTGCCTTTGCCAGCGCTTGGTGGTCTCGTCCATTACTCTGCCCGGAGGTATGGCTTCCTTCAGCACTGCGGGGACGGGAGGACAGAGAGAGAGAGAGCGCAGCCTTTAATGCACCACGAGGCAGTGCACTGATAACAAGTTAAGACGAGGCACCAGCTATCTGGGGAGGTGGCCACGCAGCGACCAGGCGGCGGGGAAGAGGCGGGCACCTGGGCGTCTGTGTCACGCTCGGCTCCAGCCGACGGGGCCCCCCTGCTTCCCACTCTGAAAGCGCAGCTGCCAAAGCCGGTCTCAGAAGCGACCCCTGCTGTGCCCCCAGCCGGGAAAGGCATGCCACCCACCTGTCATGTTCTTTGTCCACCAGGTGGTACCTGGCCCGGAAAGCCACCAGGTGGGCGTAGTATGCTGGCGCCGGGATGGACACGGATCGCGTGCAGCGCACGTAGGTGTGACACAGCTGGTAGGTGAGAATCTGCAGCTCGTCGGAAGAGAAACGATTGTCATCCCAAAGCACGTGATAGTGGGAAGGCCTGCTTGTTCCCTAAAAGCAGATCAGAGGGTCAGAGGAGTGAACGTGCGAGAAGTCCAGAACTCACCTACACGAGGGCACTGCTGACAAGCCACGCTTCCGTCACCCTCTGCACGGAGGACTCAGTGGGAGAACGCTTAGGGGCAAAAACCTGTGGGCCCCTTCACCGGTGGGCAGAGGCCAGCAGTCTTGAGGTGACGATGGGGCACATGGTGACCTTCCCTGTACGTCCTGCAACGTGTGTGGCGGGAGACAAGGCCGAACCCCGCTATGTGGGCAAGAGCGGATTCTGAGCACGTCCGTCACCTGCCGCCCTTCCCGCGGCCTTGTCACCACTCCGACCTCAGCTCGTTCGCTAAGCTCCGGGTGCACGGGACACCCTGGACCCCACTGGTGCCCCTGGCCGCTGCACCCACTACTTGCGCCTGACCTCATCTCACCTAAAATGGGAACCCTGACCACAGCACGCCAGTGGGTCCTTCCTCCCCAGCACCCCACGCCCCCCACCCTTACCTGTCCCCTGGCTACCCGCCCAACTCCCCTACGCGCCCACCGGGGTGCTTGCAGGAGGCTCGTGCTCCGTGTCTGCGGGGCATGTGGCCCACGTCACGGGGACACCGAGACTGGGCAGCGGGGGCCTGTCCTTACCTGGATGCCGGCGTGACTACACAGGTAGAAGTCAAACTCGGTCGGGTGCGTGATTTTCGTGTCCACAGTTGTGCCTGCTGGAATGTTTCCACTTTTCCCAACCTTCGGCAATACAGGAACCCGTCAGATGTGTCCAGGGACCACAACGGAAAGCAAGCAAGCACGTCAGTCTCGCTCACACCACCTTCGGACGCTGGGCCTTCCTGACCACAGGTGGCCCTATCTCGGCATCTTTAAGTTGGCTAACTAACACATTGGCTCGGCGCAACGGCATTAAAAGAGAACCTAACCGATACTAACCCCTAGAGGTAAGTAAGTTCCTGTCCTATGAGGGCTGGGTTTTCTCCCCCCAGGTCTCGTAAAGGGAGAGAAGTGCAGCTGTCTTCCCTTCACTGAAGAATCTGCATGTAACGCTCGAAGGGCTCTTCATTCCCGTGGAGGTCACCGACATACAAATCTAAAACCGTGCACAATCGGCACCTGACGGGCCATCATCCACACACAAACACACCCCAATATTCAAGGCAGAAGAGCGAGAACACCCTGAAGGCGGTCAGGAGCATCTGCACTTGGTCGGTGGCTCAATCACCACCACCCAAGAGGGCATGCTGGTCCCCCCGAGACCGTCCGAGAAGCAGGGGGATGGACTGGGCTACACATGATATCAAACCACTTAACTCTAAGTTTACATTCTAGTATCACAAAGTCACTGAACACCCAGCTACTGCTACTGGGCCAGCAACGCCGCCAAAGCTCTAGGACCCAACCCATGATCAGTAAGTCACTGACCTTTCAGTTCTGCAATTTTCAAATACACACACGCGCACGCGAATCCCCAGTGTAACTCCTGTGCACCTTCAGATATGTATTTTACTTCTTGCCAACTTTTTTCACACCTTCCTATTTTTAAAAGTAAAATATTTGAAAATAGTGCCCCCCCCTTTGCTTCCCTTCCACGTAGCAGTCTCAGATTTAGCCTCTGTCATTCCTACATGTACTTTTATTTTTCCCTACACATTTAAGTCTCCATCAGCACTATACTGTGTTACTTCACAGGTTTTCCAACTGTGCATGGGTATCATATATATTCTGCTACTTGCTGTTTTTGTTCAATATTTACGATTTGGAGATGTATTCATGGGATACACAGTCTATCCTATTTACCGCTGGGCAGTGTGCCAGCATAGGAATACACCACGACCCTTCCTCCTGTTAGTAGACAAAGTTTTTGCTATCAGAAACAACGCTGCAATAAATATTCTTATACTTGTCTCCTTATACACACGCAGGGCTAGAATTACCAAACTGCATCCAAGTTGGCTTATCAGTCTGCACTCCCATCGAAAGCACAGGAGAGTCTTCATATAATGCACTTACTCTGTGCCAAGGATGATGCAAAGTGCTTAGTGTGTTAGCTCAGCTCACCTTCCCAGCATCCTTAGGAAGGTGCGACAGGGAGGCTGACATCCGTGGTGATGCAGCCCAGATGCTGAGGGATGGGCTATAGCCAGGCTGTCCGGCTCCAGACCCAAGCTCCTGACCATGGCCCAGCACCCACATCCTTGCCGACACTTTGCTATTATCAGGATAACTTCATGAGTCCCCCCAACATTTCCCATTCTCTGAAAAATTTTGTATAAGATTATTCTTTGATGGTTTGGTAAAACTTGCCTATAAAAAATCTGCATAAACTTCACAAAATAAGATAAGTACTTTCTCCTTTTTTCCTATTCTCTGCCACACTTTAAGGGGTCATCCATTCTTGAAGGTTTGGTAAAGCTTGCCTGTAAGACTCTCTGGGCCTGATGCCTTTTGGAAATGAGGATTAGATTATCCTCCAGAGCTGATTTCAGTAATTTATGTGATTCCACAAACAACTCTTTGTATCTATTTCTTCTTACTCTTCTAATGTATCTATCAGCATAAAGCTGTTACTATCCCATGATGATTTCAGTAACACATCCCCCTTCTGGGTCATAGTCCTCTTTTTGCTCTTAATATTGTTACAAATATCCTTTTTTCCTTGTTGAGTCTTGCTAGGTTTACCCATCTTCAAAGAAGCAGGTTTTGTTTGTGTTCATCTGCTCTGTCTTCTTCATATTCTCCTTCATTATCTCCCATTCTGAGAGGGGCTGGGGGTAGGAACAAGCCAACTTGGAGCCCCCGTGACTCATGGCAGGGGCAGGATACAGGCGGAGGAGGGAGGGAGCCCACACACACCGGCTCCTCAGCCTTCCCTCCGCACCCGGGACTGGCAGCTCTTCTGTCCTTCCTGTACCTTCAGCCTCACTGGGTGGTTCTTCTTATTTTCCGACAGATGTATCGAAGTCTAGCCTCTTCTCTCCAAGAACTGCTTCAGCTGCACTGCATAAAGTCTGACATGAAATTCTCTTTTTATTCAGTTCTGATGACCTTGTAATTTTTATTCCCTTTGCATGTTTAATGTGTGTGCTACTTAGAAGTGAATTTAAAATTAGAGTCTTTCTTAAATGTCTTTCTAGTTCTACTGCTGATTTAAAATTTAGTTGTATGATTAAAAAAAAAATGTGGGTTGCCCAATACTGAGGTTTGGAAATCTCCTGAGATCTCCTCGTGACCGGGTACAAGGCAACTTTCATAAGCCTTCCACGTGAACTCGACGGTCAACGGCTGCACGCTAACCGTGAGACCTGGCCTGGTCATTTCACCCTGCCAGTCTCTAGCTTTTACCCATCTGTGGCTGCCCCAGCATCTGACACTGGGCGGTTAAACTCGCCCTCTCTGACGGTGGGTTTGTCGGATTCTCCTGGGAATTCTGTATTTTGCTACACCGTATTTTTTTCCCTTTATACATATTTTTAGGTCACTGCGTTAGGTACGTCCAAGCTCGCAGTTGTTCTATCTTCTTGGTGGCTCATCCCTGTGACTGTGACAAAGTGTCCCCGTCTCTCACTAGCGATCTGTACTTTGTCTTTCGCTTAGACAATGAGCATTTCTCCCTTGTTGTGCCTTCTCTGGCCAGATGCGAAGCAGCTGCAGGGCGGCTGGCTCTCACTGCAGTGTTTCCTTCCCTCGGGGGATGTCCCTTTTCTCAGGCATCTACCTGATGCTGTGTGGTTTAGGACAATAGTCCATGTGTAGGATTATTTTTATTTCTCCTGGTGGAAACATGGAAAATACTTGTGACAGGAAGATCCCTACCTTTCTTCAACTGTCAGATCTCTCAGCTGTTGTATCTAGAAACCCTGCCTCTCCCTCATGCTCATTATTCTTATTCTGGAACGGCCGGGAGGTGCACCCGAGAACGGGCTCCCCCGGAGCCGCCTTCAGCACTCCAACCTCCCCCAAGGGTCCCCAGTTTGTGGTACCCCACCTACTCTGCCCATTGCCACGGCTGCCAAGCCTGTTTCAGAGCCAGCTCTCTGGTAATTTCTTTACTGGACAAATGATGTCTCCTGCCCGCTCCTGTCCCAGGCCCGTGGGATTTACGGGTCCAAACGTCTCACCAGACCGAGGAGAGCCCCTCTCCGGCGCCGAAGGCTGGGTCTCTGTGAAGCCCCTCTGCAGCGTGGCTCTGGGCGAGGGCTGAGCAGAGACCCGTGTCCCTCACGGCCCCACAGCCCAGGGCCAACCTCGGGCCGCTCCTTCAGCCCCAGAGCCTCACCCTCTCGTTCTTGTCGGTGCAGAAGAGCCGCGTGTGGTGCCTTTTCTGTACCACTATGAAGGTGATCCCCGGCTGGTAGTCCTTTTCTAACTTGATGCACGCCTCGCGGATGGCCAGCAACTCGTGGTGGAGAACCTGAGGGAAAGGAAAGCCGTTTAAGGATGATTCTCTTTTTACAGCCTCTCTCTACCTTAGAATAAATCCCTAATGACACGCGCTATCTGCCCAATACGTGCAGTTCCGGGGTTCGGGCTCCCCTGGCTCGGGATTAGCGGCGCGACTTTGCCTTTCTGCTTTCGGTTTTTTTTTTTCATTTATATAATTGAGCAGATGAGACCCAGGTTTCATAGCTAAATGGTTTAAACTAGATAATGCATAAAACTGCTCAGCACGGTTTCTGGAATGTTCTAAGTGCCCCATAAATGGCACCCACCATGGGCAGGAGTAATGGGGCACAAAGGGAGACATACACAGGAACAAATCAACAACTCGTTCTCTCTGCGGGAGAGTAGGAACGCACACTGGCTCAGGAGTTAGACCTGAGTTCAAACCCTAGCCCTACCGCCGAGTAGCTGTGTGGCTCCAGGAAAGCCACCGATCCTCTCCGATGCCCAGTTGTTCTCACTTTTAAAATGGGACCATCCTACCTTGCAGGCTTGCTGCGGAGACTGAAGTAAGTACAAAGCGCTTGCATGTAAGTACCCGGGAGACAGGGTACAAAGACTGTAAGACACTGTTCTCACCATCTGGGTCAGAGATAAACAGGCAAACAACCTGTCACGCTGTGATGAGGCCCTTACAGGGACACACACCTCAGATTTTTAAACACTGCCCGAATTAAGATCGTGTTATGATGTTTCCAATGTGTCTTGGGTTCTGCACTGAGAACCCAAGCTGTGGGGATTCCGTAAGGCGTGGGCTTTGTTCACAGAGTGATAAACACAGAAGGCACTGACCCCTCTCCAGCAGGAATGGCTGTGGTGGGGGTGGGGGGCTGGGGGCACAGAAGAGGGGAACAGTCTCAGCCAAGGGAACCCAAGAGGTTTGGCACAAGAGGTGCCTTCAGGGTCGGCTGGCACACACCAGACTTTAGACCTGAGAGGGGGACAACGCAGGAGCTCCCAGCCCTGCTTCTGCAGAAGGTCTATGAGGCCTGGCCAGAGTGTCAGTTCCGTCCTTCCTGCCGACCGAGGGCCTGAGGGGGACGAGCTGCGGCTCCCCTCTGGAGCAGGAAGGTCCAGGCGATCCTGCTTATGCCCAGTCGGGCGGCCTGCAGCCTCTGAAACACACGAGCGCAGCCCTCGGGACGCCTTCCCGTCTGGGCGGGTCTCCCACAGGATGGGACACAGGCCCCCATCCCTTCTGCCTTCCCTAACATCCCCCGGCGAGGCATGTGCCGGGACGGGGTACGGGGTGGGTGGAGATGTAATTAGCTTGGACCGATGTGGAGGAGACACAGGCTGGGCATCTATCTCCCGAGCTCTGGGTGAGGACGGACTCGCTGCCGACCACAGGTCACGGTGACAGGGACGTAAGGCAGGTGCTTGGAAGCAGAGCACGGCAACAAGCTCCCCGCTCCCTTGCCCCTTCACTCCCCCGTGTCTGATGGCACCCCTACCTTCTGGACAGCCCGTCACCCAGGATCACATCCGGATGGTGGCCAGTCCTGTGAGCCCTCCTTCCAAAGGGACCCCCGCCCAGCTGTCCTCCCAGCCCCTGCCAGAGTTGTCACTATGCCTCTGTGGCCTCCACCCTGCAGCCTGCCTTTCCTGCCACACACGGAGGTGACCCCCAGCACAACGGTGTCCCCACCTACAGACTCCCCACCGCCAAGCCTCTGGAAGGGCACGCGGCCCCAGCCTGCACGGCTGAGCTGACCTGGACTCGACCTCCCCGCGGCTCCTTGTTCCTCCCGTCCTGCCTCGTCCCCCTCCCGTCCTGCCCCGTCCCCCTCCCGCCCTGCCCCGTCCCCCCCCCGTCCTGCCCCGTCCCCCTCCTGCCCTGCCCTGTGCCCCTCCCGTCCTGCCTCGTCTCCCCCGTCCTGCCTCGTCTCCCCCGCCCTGCCTCGTCCCCCTCCCGCCCTGCCCTGTGCCCCTCCCGTCCTGCCTCGTCTCCCCCGCCCTGCCTCGTCCCCCTCCCGCCCTGCCCTGTGCCCCTCCCATCCTGCCTCGTCTCCCCCGTCCTGCCTCGTCCCCCTCCCGTCCTGCCTCGTCCCGCCTCCCATGCGTGGCCGCATGAGCCGCGGGGCGGAATGGACGCCACGTCACTGTGTCCATCAGGGAGCCCGGGAGGACACTGTGCAGGACGGACGGGTGACTCTCGGGCATTCTGAGACCCCAGGCAGAGAAAACTGCGAGGCGCCCACCTGCTGAAACTGGCCCTCGGAGACGCCGTCGCGGTAGAAGATGATGCGCGTGGGCTTGAAGCGCGTGGACTTGTAGAACTGGATGAGGAGCTCGCGGACCATGGTGGCCAGGTCCTGGATGATCTCCTGCCGGTGCTGCTGAACCCGCACGGTGGCGCAGTAGCGGTTGGGGTGCGCGTCCATGCTGCCCACGACCTGCCGGGCGAGGAGGAGCGCTGCTCTGGCTGCGCCCGGAGCGCGGCGGGGACACGTCGCCACCCCAGCCCACGGCGCGGGAAGGGGCAGTGGCCTGTCGGAGGCGATCTGCTGCCTGGGGGGGTTTTGGGACGTGGGCAGTAACGTTTATAAACAGGACAAAGAGTAGCAGCTGCTGAGAGTGTCTAACAAAACGTGGGCAATTGGGCGCCTGGGGGGCTCAGTCGGTGGAGCGTCTGCCTTCGGCTCGGGTCATGATCCCGGGGTCCTGGGATCGAGCCCCACATCGGGCTCCCTGCTCGGCGGGAGGCCTGCTTCTCCCTCTCCCACTCCCCCTGCTTGTGTTCCCTCTCTCGCTGGGTCTCTCTCTGTCAAATAAATAAATAAAATCTTTAAAAAAAAAAAAAAGTGGGCAATTGGGTGCCTGGGGGGCTCAGTCGTTACGTGTCTGCCTTCGGCTCAGGTCATGATCCCAGAATCCTGGGATCGAGCCCCGCATCGGGCTCCCTGCTTGGCGGGAAGCCTGCTTCTCCCTCTCCCACTCCCCCTGCTTGTGTTCCCTCTCTTGCTGTCTGTCTCTCTGTCAAATATATAAATAAAAAATCTTTAAAAAAAAAAAAAGAAAGAAAGAAAAATTTTGAGTTCTGGGGCACCTGGGTGGCTCAGTTGGTTCAATATCTGCCTTCAGCTCAGGTCATGATCCCAGGGTCCTGGGATCGAGTCCCACATCAGGCTCCCTCCTCGGGGGGAAGCCTGTTTCTCCCTCTCCCACTGCCCCCGCTTGTGTTCCTCTCTGTCAAATAAATAAATAAATAAATAAATCTTAAAAAAAAAAAAAAAGAAAATAATTTGGGGGCGCCTGGGTGGCTCAGTCATTACGCGTCTGCCTTCAGCTCAGGTCATGATCCCGGGGTCCTGGGATTGGGCCCCACATCGGGCTCCCTGCTCCGCGGGAAGCCTGCTTCTCCCTCTCCCACTCCCCCTGCTTGTGTTCCCTCTCTCGCTGGGTCTCTCTCTGTCAAATAAATAAATAAAATCTTTAAAAAAAAAAAAGTGGGCAATTGGGTGCCTGGGGGGCTCAGTCGTTACGTGTCTGCCTTCGGCTCAGGTCATGATCCCAGAATCCTGGGATCGAGCCCCGCATCGGGCTCCCTGCTTGGCAGGAAGCCTGCTTCTCCCTCTCCCACTCCCCCTGCTTGTGTTCCCTCTCTTGCTGTCTGTCTCTCTGTCAAATATATAAATAAAAAATCTTTAAAAAAAAAAAAAAAAGAAAGAAAAATTTTGAGTCCTGGGGCACCTGGGTGGCTCAGTTGGTTCAATGTCTGCCTTCGGCTCAGGTCATGATCCCAGGGTCCTGGGATCGAGCCCCACATCAGGCTCCCTGCTCCGCGGGAAGCCTGCTTCTCCCTCTCCCACTCCCCCTGCTTGTGTTCCCTCTCTCGCAAATAAATAAATAAAATCTTTAAAAAAAAAAAAAGTGGGCAATTATTCTGATCCTTTACTCTGCCCGGGCCCCGAGGTGGCTGAGTTCAAGGAGCCCCCAGAAAGCAACGCGAACAATCCCCAGCTTTTTCAAAGCACCTTGCTCACCCAGAGAAGCTGTCTGCCGATCAGTGCACATCCCTGACCCCCTGAAATGGCAGACCGGCCCAGAGGCTGGCCCACAGGTAGGTGCCTGAAGGGGCCATGCCGAAGGTGCCCAGAGTACAAGGGACACAACTATGCCCCGTGCTCTGCTCATCAACGAGGAAGGGCTGAGAAATACCGAACAAGGTAAAAACCGCACTCCAGGTCGGAAGTGGAGGTAATCTGGATTGCTGAGCCGGGAGGCGGATTCACGTTACAGAATGCTAACCTGACAGAGGAACACAGCCCCTGAACGACACCAGACACACCCTGTGTGCCGGGGGCCTGCAGCGGACCCGGGGGAAGCCTGTACCTCCTGGGGACCCCAGCCTCCCTGGCTGGGGATCGGACGCACCTCAGGATCCCGTGCGGCTCAGAGGGAAGCCCCGGGCGGCCAGAGGGTGGCTGGCACTGCTCACCTGTGACTGCTCCAGACAGGGCTGCTGTGAGGGAGGGAATGAGCACAGAGCCCCACCTGCAGGGGCCTGGCGGGCACGGTGGCCCCTAACACCCTGCACAGCGCACGCCCCAGCCCTAAGCCTCGCAGTCGTTAGCTCCGTTTTCTACTGTTTGTCTTGAGCAACGGAGCTTGGTCTTTCTGGACTTCATGTGTTAACTGAGGAAACTAACAGTGACCCCACGCGATTATGGCTCTGTAGTTACGCAGCCAGCCTGGAGCCTGGCATGTAGCAGGTGCTCAGAAAATGCCAGTATTCTCTAATGAGCCTGGAGAGTGTGACAAGCGTCCCTAGGTGGTGTCAGGCACGGGACAGAATGCATAGCAGCCCTGGGGTTGCTGGGGACACAAACCTTGAGCCTCACGCCTCCTTCCCTCCACTTGGCTGCCCGGATGCAGAACCCTGGGGTGTCCAGTCAAACAGCCCCGAGGGAGCACCCTTGGCCCTGCATTCCACATTTCAAGTCCACACTCTTCTGAGTACATGCTCGTCTGGTCCTCTTGAACCAAAGGCCGTTAGCTGCCCCTCCCGGGCACCATCAGCTCGGGGCACAGAGTGGGGGCCCAGCTCAGCCTCCGAGGGCAGGAGACAGCCAGCGAGCGTGAGTGGGGCACAGGTGTGCAGGGCCTGGGAAGCAAAGCCCCCGGAGGCCCAGACAGAACTCACGGGTAGAACGAGGGCAAGGCCTCCATTGAACCCTGGCCTGTGTACGTAACTACTTTATATTCAGTGTTTTGTAACAAAAGATAGGAAACGTTTAGGAGTGCAGCATAAAGAAGGTGGGTACACGAATCCTGCGCAGTATCTGCCCCAGTGGGCAGAGAGCCCCCAGGCCCCCCAGGACAGGAGCCACCCCACAGCTGGCTTCCCCTGCAGCCAGAGCCGGTCCGCTTGGGCTGGGCCTCCGGGGAGCACGACCTCATCGCTTCTCAGATACAGTTAGCCACGTGCAGAGTCCCCTCCAAATACCTATTTTTCAGGAGACTCTGTTTCACCAACTGCTCCGTAAACCACAAAGGTTGTTAGGAAGACGCTCTGGCCCCACGCTGCCATGGCACCGCGCACCCTCCCACCGGCAGCCTGGCGAGGGCGTGGGTCCCACGAATGGTAGGACGTCACCCACTGCGGCCCAGCGGTGGGCTCGGATACTCACGGCAGCGATGGAAGGCTTCTTCCCATCCCCAGCGGGCGGGTGAGTGACGTCGGCCCCCAGAAAGATGACGGGCTGCTGGAACACGGGCGGCCTGCAGAGGGAAGCCGGACCATCTGAGGCCTCTGGCCCTGAAGAGCATCACTTGTGTGGCAAAGTCACTGCGGTTGTGTTTGTAAAGAAACCTCGTATCTTTGAATGGTCCCTACAGAGAGCCTGGCTGATAAAGCCACACCAGGTCTGAGATCTGCTTCCAAATAACCCGGTGCAGGGATCAGGGGCAGGAGGAGCAGGGGCTACCAAGACTGGTCAGGTGCAGACGGCGTTGAGGCTGGGCCAGGGAGGATCCTACTTTGTGTACGCCCGAAAGTTTCCACGGTCATCACACCTACTGAAACTCTCTATGTATACAGGTTATGTGTTTATAAGACAGTGATTATATATGCAAGACTCAATGCACGTAGGAGTCCCATACTTGGTTCCGGCCTCGGACCTGCAGTCACACACCCCGGCGTCTCCCCCACGGCACGGCGGCAGCTTGCGGCTGGGCTCTCCCCGCCCCCCCGCAGGGTGTTGAGCAGCACCCCTGCTCTCTGCCCACGACGTGCCTGGGCACTCCCCCAGGTGAGAAGCACAACACGGGCTTCTTCTCCTCATCTCTTAAATGGGGCTGTGTTCCAGAACTTTCCTGAAGAGGACGTGTGCACGGAGGGTGGGAGCATGGGGTCACTTGCTAGCTTTGCGTTCTGGAGCTTACCCTCTCTACAGCTTACTTTTCTCTTCTGGAAAATGGAGACAAAACGCACAGTTACACGAGCACGTGCAAGTGCAAGCCAAGTGCTTTCAGAGGGCCTGGCCCGCCACACTCCCGAGGAGCTGCTGCCGTTCGGGCCCCTTCCTGCTCAGTGGTGAGTGGTGCCGTGAGCTTACCAGCCCAGCCAGGAGCTGAACTCACTGGGGAATGCTCCCAGGGGGCCTCCCGCTGGACGGAGCCCCTCCACCCGGAGCCCAGAGGTAGGGGGAAGGGCTTCGAGTGTGTACGCCACATATCAGTGTCCACAAAACGTGGACCAGCTTCCCCCTTCAAGCCCCAATGTGCTTCCAACTACACCTGGGGGTCCCGGGACACGGAAGCAGGGCTCACCGGCACTCCCTGCATGGGGGAAGATGCTGCCCATGGCCATGCTGATGGCCCTGCCTCTGGGCCCTGGCGTGGACGTGGCCCTTCTCTGTAAGCCTCCAGGGCCCAGCCCCGGCCGTGTTCTCCCCAGCACCGCGCAGCCCACTCGACACTGCGCCCCGCCTCCCGACTCTCACGCCTGGAGCATCTGCACCCACCGTTGTGACTCACACCTTCAACCAGGAAAACCACACCTGCCTGCAGACTCCTCTCCCTGACACGCTCCCCCCCCATGCTCCCTCAGGTCCCTGGCTCCGCCCTGTGACTAAGCTCCTAATTAGGTGAACCCATTCACCATCTCCTGAGCAGCCTTGGACCCCTCCCACCAGGCTTCCTGCTGCCATGGCAACAAGACTCCCTTCACAAGGTCCCCCACCCCTGCATGGCAGAGACTCAGACCTCCTCACTAGGCCTGTCCACACCATGTGACACAAGACGCAGTGCCCTTGGGGTCCAGGACCCGCCTGGCTCTCCTCCCCTCCCTTCTGGGGCTCCACTGCTGGCTCCCCATCTCCACGACCTTTCACCCCTGAACTCTCCAGGGCAGCAGGCTTGGCATCCATCCTTTCTACACCCTGCCCTGGGGGATGTGGAATCGCAGGAGCCTTGTGGCTTTCAATACCACCTCCCTGCTGGGGACTCCTAAACACACAACCCTGATACCAGATCCCTGTTTCTGCTCACCCACCCGTGACGCCCCTCCAGCCGGACCCTGCAGGCCCCACCTCTAGAGCGGGCCCTGCAGCCCCATCTTCCAAACACCATCTCTGGGCACCCACCCCACCCCCACCGCCAGCATCCCTCCCGAGACAACGCAGGTGCCTCCTGGTCCCATTCCACTCGGAGCTGGAGCGGCCTTCTAGAACAGGAACCTCCAGGGGCTGTGTCCTGCCCGGAGGGAGCCCCAAGCCCCTCCAGCCCTCCGTCCTTTGCTAGAACAATCCCCAGCCGTCCCCGCAGGCTCCCACCCAGGGCCCTTGCCCAAACCGTGCCCTGGGGCTGGAACACCCTTCTCCCAGGCATCCCCACACACCTGCGACCTTGGCCCCTGCCGTCTGCTCAGTGCCACCTTCTCCACGAGACGGTCACCATAGAAACCCCAGCTCCTTACCCTCCTGAACTCCTGTCCCTGCCATGATGTCACTGCTGCTCGCCTGTCAAGCCCCAAGCGTGTGGGTCCCCGCACCAGAGGGCTGGGACTCTGGGTGCTGTGCTCACTGCTGTGGCCCAAACTCCTGGTACACAGTAGGTGCCCACTAAACACAGAACCTGCTGACTCGGTGAACAGCACTTCGAGCTCACCACCTGCTCCTGATAGCTCCTCATTTCCTCCCAGAACCTTACCGCGAGGAACCAGTCTTCGGGTTCACGCGTATCAGGCTCTACCGCCCGCTAACTCCACTCAATGGCGGGAGCCGCAGTTCGGGAGGTGTGGCCCCCGGCCTGCAGCATCGCATGTAGGCTCGCTACCAATGTGCACGCTTGGGTCCCAGTCCAGATGTGCTCGTCAGAACCTCTGCTTTAACGAGGCCCGAAGTGGGTTCGGACGCTGGCCCAGCCGTGCCCACGCGAGGAGCCTGGGGCAGGCTGTTGCGTTCTGCACACATGGCCGCCTCTCCCCCAAGCACACAGAAGCAGCCAGACCGCCTCCTGTCCTCACAACTGCCCCTTCCACCTGCAGGGCGAGTGTGGCAAGCAATCCGCGTTTCCCCACGTCTGCCATTCAAACGCGAACCCAGACGCCCAGAGGCTCCAGCAAGAACCGCCCCCCCCCCCCCCAATATCTGTCTCTCCTGGCTGCAGCAGACAAAAGCTAACCTCCCCCGGGGCACCCAGGGCCCCACGCCGGGCCAAGAAGTACCAGGGGACCCCACAGCCCCGCCCACCGCTCCCCTGCCAGCCCCGGACCCCGGCCCAGGGTCCACAACAGCACGCTCTGCCGTGGAGCCTCTCAGTTCCCAGGGCTCGGTTCCAGCACTGACGGCATCGGGCAGTGACGTGCGTCCCTCCATCGAGGCTCGTGTCCTAGCCGTTCCAGGTGCGCTCCGGCGCTGACCTGCTCACTCCTTTCACAGCGCGGCTGCCGCGTCCCCGTTCCAGGACCCCTGCGCCCCTCTCTGGCCCCAGCTCGCTCTGGGAAGCTGGCCACAGCACTCCAGGACCCCCCTTGTTCCCCAGACTCCGGGCAGCACTTCCCGCGTTTGCGGCATCCAGGACAGGGCTTGGCGCCGGGACCCCACGTGGCACCCCCGGGCCCTGCCCCGACCCCACTGGGAATCGTGCTGTTAGCCACTGCGCACGCGGGGAAGGGCCGGCTTACCTCCCCTGGGGCAGCAGGATGTTGTTCACGCCTCCCAGCTTGACGTTGATCTTCAAGCAGAGGTTGGACAGGGTCTGTGGCGTGGTCCTCTGCACGTTCTTCATCTGCACACACTGCGTGGCCATCCCCAGCACCGTGTCTCCCACGCGCTTGACCTCGGCTGTGGAGCACGGAAGATGCACACGTTGGCAGCTCTCACCGGCCCCTCTTCCTTCGCTCGCCCTGACAGCCCCCCACCCCGAAACTGCAGAGGCCCGCACGGAAGCGCCACCACGGCAGCCCCGTGGGCGGCCACGCGTGTGAAAGAGCAGGTGACCGGCAGGCGGGGGAAAGTCTGGCCCCAGGGCTTGCGTTCTGCTCCGGCCGGAGTGAAGACCCTTTCGGGGACTTGCAGGGCTGCAGGGCGGTATGGGCAGAGCCAGGCTGCCACAGGGGCCTTGGCACTCCTGGCTAGGATCGCCGCCTTCTATCATGGTGCGCGGGGTTACGAGCAAAAGCTTGCGTCGTTAAAAAGAAAAACACTGGCATCCTCGATATCCACAGCACACGCACACCTGACATCCAAGTGCTATCTAGGCCCACACCCCTCGGTTTCTGGAATCTTCCGTGACGCAACTGTCAGCTGTTCCCCACACAGCCTGTGGAAACCGGGGACTTCCGGATAGAAACACTGACGGTGTCTTCTTTGCTCTTTGGATATGTAGCTTGGAGGGAAGAAGCGTGGCTTCCGATGCGGGATCAATGGGCCAGGCCCAAGCACTCCTCAGCGTGGTAAAAACACCAAGGACCCAGGCCGCAGCAAACCCCCACGGGGATCACGAGAGCAAAGGCTTACCATACACGGGGGTCTTGCCAGGCAGGATGACTACCACCAGCTGAAGGCCAGCGTACGTATTCTTCAGATGCCTGAACATGGGCTCCACGCTATCCGCCCCCTGGGCATATTTACAGAAGCACGGCTGGCCCTGGATCGGCATTCCAGCGTCCCTCGAGATCTTTCTGAGCTGCTCTGTGAAGGATCTGAAGGAGAAGGCTCATCAGACTCGAATGCATGGCGAGAGCCAAAGAATCCACACCAACCAGAGGCCCCAAGTAAAGGGCACGGCCTTAACAGCCCAACCCCAAGTCACTTTTATTGATGTCCAAATCTAAGTTTAAGACCTGGACAGAACCATGGCAACGTGTTAACTCAAAGAGAAGTGACGCGCTAAGCACACACGTCCGTCCCCGCAAAGCCACTCCCAGGGTGCAGGGACAAGTGCTGTCCTGTTGGAGCAATGCACCGAGCCGTGCTGCCCACTCGGCAGGCCTGACCAGCGTCCAGGTTCTGGGACAGAACCCAGGACTCCGTTCAAAGCCAAACACCGTCCAAGGGAGGAAAACCGTGAACGGACTGTCCCCTTGGATTTGCCCCCTTTATTCTTGGGTGTACAACTCGGACTTGGACGACACAGCCGTGGGGACGAACAGAACCAACCACAGGCAGAGTCACACCAGCAGCAGCTGCCAATGGGCCTGGTGGAGCCACGGTGGGGGGAGGGGCGCAGACGATCAACAGCTTCTATTTTAAACTTAGGAATAAAAATAACATCGCCTTCTACAGCAAGGTAAGGATACTTGATCCAAGGGAGCCAGCATTCAGCCTCCTATACTTTAGTGCAGCTAAACAGACGTGTGTGTGTGTGTGTGTGCGCACGCCCACATTCACACCCACAGGCGGCTTCACCGCGGGGCCGTCCAGCTCCAGGCAAAATGAACGAAGGAGGCAAGGCCAGAACTTGGAGAGAGAGAGGCGCCCGGGGTCCACGCCCAAGCGACCTGGTCTCCTAAGCTGCTCTGTGCTCCCAGCTCCATCTGCTAGTGGCGCCCAGGACAAGGAGCCACCGAAGACCTGGACAGAACCAGCCCGCTGACGTCTGCGCTCAGGAACGTTCGGAGCCGGCCTCGGCTAGAATGTCAAGCAGCTACACTCCGCAGGCTTGGGGGCAAGTTCCCTCCTGCTTCCACCGGGACAGGCGGGAAGCTAAAGCTTTCTTTCCGCTGTTAGGTCTGTTTGGCACAAAAGCGTGAGCGGCGAAGCTGCGTGTTTATGGTGCTACTTTCAAAGGGTCCGACGCCTGGACCAGGCCAGGACGATCGAGAAATACGAAGCTGAAGTGGCTTTTTTAAAAGTAACTTGACTTAACTGAATGTAATTTTCTCTTTTGCATCTAATTTTCAAGCTTTTTCTTCATTTACGGTTTTATTTCTTATATAATCTGCGTTACTTCTCCACACGCCCTCCACCAATGAGTCCGAGAAGTTAACAGCAGCCTCGAGGTGGCCCACGAGTCCGGGCAGGTGCTCTCTGCCAGGGGAAGCCTACCAACCCCACCATCAACACCCGCTGCGCCCCCCAGCTGCCCAGCCCCCCGCCCCCCGCCCCCCGGCTGGCCCACCCAAGGCCGGGTGCACCTGCCCCTCAAGCAGCCTTACTTAAGGTGGACTTCTGTGCACTGGCGCTGGGGGGCGAAGCACGCAATGGCCCACACCTTGATCTCAATGCCTGTGTGAAACTGCTTGTTCCTCATGTCCCACACGCCCTGGACAGGGGTGGCGATCGCTTTATTCTGCAAATGGCAAGACGTTTAGAGTGAGGAAAAATGGGAAACACATCCCTCTGACCCTGGATCGTGTTACTTTCCTACTGCTGCTGGTCCCCTGATCAGGTGGTGCTCCTGAGGCTGAGAACTGGGCCTTTGTGTAGTCTGCCATCCCTGACTTGCCCAGCCGTGCAAGTGGGCCAGAGACGTCTGCAGAACGGATGGATGGACAGATGAAGAGCTGGACGGGAGATGGGGCATGGAAGGATGGATGGAGGAACAGAGGAGGAAGGAAGGAAGGAAGGATGGAGGGAGGGGCAGATGAGGGGACAGAAGAAGGATGGATGGAGACAGGGGCAGATGAGGGGACAGAGGAAGAAGGAAGGATGGATGGAGAGAAGGGCGGATGGGGGGACAGAGGAGGAAGGAAGGATGGATGGAGGGGGGTAGATGAGGGGACAGAAGAGGAAGGAAGGATGGATGGAGAGAGGAACAGATGGGGTCAGAAGAGGAAGGATGGATGGAGGGAGGGGCGGATGGGGGGACAGAGGAGGAAGGATGGATGGAGGGAGGGGCAGACAGAATAATGGAAGGATAGATGGAGGGGTGGATGAGTAGACAGATGGAAGATGGATGGACCGATGAAGGGAGGGGTGGATACAGGCCAGGGAGAGCAGAGAGGCCCAGAATTCCACCCAACCTCAGGGGCAGCCCGGAGGAATGCTACAGGAAACTTCCTGGTTGGTTCAGAACATGCTCTCACTTATTCTACCTCCTCTCTTATCAGGCCGACAGCCGGGGAGCGGGGTGGGGGGGAGAGAAGTCAAGGTGCCTCCTCCCAGTCCTGGCTGGGGAGCAGATGGGCCAGAGAGGACCCCTGCATTGCTCACGCCACTGTCTGCCGTGGTTTAAGGAACGGAAGCTACCCCCTCTGGTAAAGACAGAGCAGGGGACACATCCACCGGGGTTTGTCCTCTCTCAGCCAGAAAGGACCAGGCCTCAGCACCACCAGAGGAACCCCTGGACTCCCTTCCGGGGAGGGCTGGCGGCGGGGGGCATGGCTGTCCAGGCCTGTGGGCACCACCAAAGGACGGGCTGCACGTGAGCTCCTGTCACTTGGTTATGGGAGGGTTTCTAGTGGAAAACATTTTTTATTACAAAAGTCACACAAGCCCATTGTAAAAAACAAACATTTTAGAAATGAACTCTTTTCTTTCCGATATTTTTATAACTATTTCCCTGCTGCTACTAGAGACAGGCTTCTGTAAGAGACAGCCCCCCACCAGTCTGGTATTCCAGACTCAGTGCACGCACGTGCACACGCCCACACACGCACACGCCCACACACGCGTGCGCACACACACACGCGTACATGCACACGCACACACACGGTTTCAGCAGACATGGGCTCTTAGGACACATGCGATTCTCAGCCTCAGCACCGCTGACATTCAGACTGTCCTATGCACTGCGGATGTTAGCAGTTCTTGTCACCAGATGCCAGCCTCCAGACATCGCTAAATGTCCCCTGGGGGGCATTTAATGTCTTGCTCCAACAATGGACAACAAGTAGGGTAGGTGAAGAAAAGTGTGTGTTCTCATTAAAATGTTTCAGAGATCTGGAAAAATGTGTTCATTTAGAAGCATCAAAAACTTCCCATCCCTACAATTCTAATATTTTTGCAAGATGAGGTTACAAGAGCTATTTTGTCTTCCAGACTACTCCTGTATTTCTTGAGTCAGAAAGTCGAAACAGACATAAGCAGACAGATTTGCGGTCCCGATTTGATCACCCAAGGGCCACATAAATCTCTATTTCTAGCCATCTCTCCACTTACTTGTGAAAGGGAATCACACACTCTTCCTCCTAGGGTTTTAAGAAGGGCTCAAAAAGGTGCTATGCTTGCAGCGCGTCTGGACATAGCAAGTGCACAAGTGAGCTCAGAGCCCGGAAGCCTTGCTCAGAAGTCTCCTTCAGAGGGCGGGCACCAGGATGGGGGCCCCCACACACAATACCGTGCAGTGAAAGTCCAAAAGAACAAGCCACACGTCACATACATATGGAACCATCTCCAAGACCTCTATGGGCTCTAAGAGAAAGTTTCAAGTAAAAAGAGGCGTATTTAATGTTACTAATTGCACCAAAAGGGATGAAAACTCATGTGAATAATCCCTGGGCAGCTTTACAAGATAAAACACCAATCACTTCCTGGGAGAGCAAGTGAGACCTGGGGAAAGAGTCTTCTTCCTATAATGCTTTGTTTTGCTGTGTTGTGCTTTGTAAGTAGGCTCCAGGCTCAACGTGGGGCTCAAACCCACGACCCTGGGATCAAGACTTGCAGGCTCTTCCCCCTGAGCCGGCCAGGTGCCCCCCTCCTGTAGTTCTTTGTGCCTTTTGAACTTTGGAACATTATAAAAAGCAGAACTTAACGTTTTACACTAAGAAAGGGGAAAACCCTACAAACAAAACCAGGCCTTGCTATGGGTCCTGAGGACGAGGGTAAAAGGCAGAGTCACTCCAATCTTCCATCAGAGCTTGTGGGTGAGCAGCCCGTGATGAGTGAGGCTGAGGCCCCCGGGGCCCCGCCACCCACCCGGTAAAGCCGTGCTCCGCGTCTGGGGGCCCGGCCCTGAGGAAGTGCATGAAGACCCTTCCCATGAGCTCTGCAGGGCTCAGTGGACAGGATCGCTTTATGATGTGCTGATGAAGCCAGGCATTACACCAGCAAAAACAAACAAAACCTGAGTGACTAACAGCTCTGTTTGTCACCAAATACCTCCAACACCGAAGTTAGAAAAACAGAAAAGAAGTCTAAGTTTCTGGAAAATAATTCATCAGTGGCAAAGTGCCCAAAGAACAATGCTTTCCAGATTTCAATGGGGTAATAAAAATCACCTTTTGAAAAAATAAAAGTTATTCTGAAAATCCTCAGAAAGGGCCCAGCAACTTAGTCCTTACTGAGGCCCCGTAACGTGCACTGGCTTGGACTAGAGTGGCAAGAATTCCTTACCTTGGCCACGGTCTACACCTCTGGCATGGTTCTGACCCGAGGGGTCAAAAGTTCCTGCTCCACCATCACCTGCCAGACACACGGCGTGTCCCCCGAACCCCGCCCCCACGTACCCTGCCCCCGTAGAGGATAGAGGGCGGCTGGAGGACCCGCCCGGTCACGTCTGTCATCTCGTCCTTGACCATGATTCCAAATTCACGAACATACGGATCTGTATTAAAACTTGCACTTCGCATCTTGAAAAGGAAAAAAGAAATAAGCCGTGTCTGTCCCAAGCACCAGGGGCTCCCTTGCCCGGCACCATGTACCACAGTCCCCATGGTGTCCCCACCCCCAGGCTGGCCCTGGGAACGTGACGCTCACCAGCTTGCTAATCTCTTCTTGCCGATCCGGCGCTGACCTGGCGGTCGCTCTGATCATGGTTGAGGTCTGATTGTCGGTCAGTTTTTTGATACATCTCTGTCCTGCCACTATGTTACAGACCTACAAAGAAGAGACAGGGCGCTGGCCCCGGTGCTGGAGGACAGGCGGGGGTCTGGGGCTGAGCGTGGTGCCCTGGCTCAGCCTGTGACACATCGGTCTCTTAGCCACACATGGCGAGGCGCCCCGCACACACCATGGTGGCCATCCCTGCGACCCTCCAGGATTGGGGCTGCTCAGGGCCCGCGGTCGGCACCAGAGATCCTCCTGGGCGAGCCTGGCCTGGCACCAGTGCGCGCTGGGAACCTCACAACGTAGGAGCATGAAGCTGCGTGCTGATGGGGAGGAGGCCGGCCTTCTGGACCAGGGCCCAGGAAAACCACCTGGATATTTGGGTAGCTGGACAAGTACAGAGAATTTAAGGCACTAACAGAAAAGAGTTAAAACTTGGGCCTCAGCTTTAGCATTTAATCTTTCCCTGGGCCAGGATTTTTCCAACAGTAAGTGAAGAAATAGTAGCTTTTCTGAGCATCTTCCACCCTGTTCAAAGGGCCTGCTGGGCACAACGGGCACGTCCTGAATGGGCCCACGAATCCCACGGGAGTCACCACACCGTTTCATTCTCGGGGAGGCAGGCACGAGGGGCATCACTGGCCTGAGGCCCACAGTTCTCCCACCAGCCCCAGAGCAGCCCGGACAGGAGACGGAACTTGCCTCGAGGGGAAGGTAGGTGTGTTTCTGCTCCTGTCCGACTTGTAAACACGGGAGGTGGGGGTAGCGCAGAACCAGCTTGTGCCTGTCCTTGAAGTACTGGGCCACCGTGCACTCCACCGTCTGCCCGCTCTCCTGCTGGAGCGGGAATCTAGGGAAGCCAAGAAGGGGCTCAGGCAGCAGACCCCACATGAGCCCGCTCCCCCGGTCTGCTTGCTGAGGGCTGGAGAAGGTGGGTGGGGGTTGGGGTGGGGGCAAATGTCCAAAGCACCTTCCAGGGGTCAAAACCAATCATGCCCTTCGGACAGGTAGTTCCTAAACTTCCGTATTATCTCTGGAGTTGGGAAATAAAAAACACTGACATGCATGTAACATGCAACAATCACAGATCCCAGAGATCTACAGTGTAAGTAAGGAAGTAGCCACGCCTTGGCGGTGGGGGGCGCCTACTGATCCCCGCTAGCTCCCAGCCCCGGCTCTGCACTGAGGATGGGAAAACAAACAAAAATGACTCTCTCTCGCCTGTAAAACTCAAGAGGGAAAATCAACAAGGAGCCACCAACCCCTTCCCACCCCGTACGGTGCAATTTCATGATTTTATCTCATTGGATGCAGTTTGGTTCTACCGAGGCAAAGGCATGGTTCCAGAATTCTGAACCAGAATGAAATGATCCTTCCCAGGAGGGTCACTGCTCTGGAGGTGGGCCATCAGAGGGACCGCGGAGAGTGGGTCCGGGGGGGGGGGGGTAAGGCCATTTACGTTTGGTGGCTGGCGGGCCGCCGGGTCACATTGCATACACGGTATTTCCTCTTCATCTGCCCACAGTGCGTTATCTCCACCTTTAGACCTGGCAACACAGAGCAGCCCGGCCTCACAGTCAAGCCCCGGCCCGGCCCGGAGCGTGGGCCCCACCTCCCGAGCACCGGCTGTCCCTGGAGCCCACAGACCCCAGGGGAGGGTGTTCCGCAGCAGCTGCAGGGCTGCACTTGCCCTGAGTGCGGGGACCTGTGCGCAGGGCCCGGCTCACCCACGGGGATGCCTTCTGCCCCCGAAATGCCAAGGCCAGAGGCTGGACACAGTTCTTAAAGATAAAAGAGACGATGTTGGCTCAGCGAGACTTTGTGCTTCCTCCAGGACTATTTTTAGCAGCCGGCACTTCTGATGGCCTTTAGAAAGCCCTGAGGAGGACAGGTGCGGAGGGGCGTGGGCGACAGGTGCTGGCCGACTCTCCGCGGCTGGGCCAAAGGGCCCGAGCCAGGCCACTGCACTCGGGCCGTGTTTCCCTGAGTGGAAAGCAGGCTTGGTGGGTAGGTGCCCAGGACAAGGCATGAAAGCGTGCTCCCCATTCCAGAACAGCATGAGGTCCTGGTAACAACCACACGCTGCTCTTTGCTCCGAGAGTCCAGTGACTTGCACGCACTGGTCGCTGACCCCGTGGAAAGCCGTTTACTGAGAACATCACTGTTCCCGCGCTGTGAAATGGGCTTAGTTCAAATCTGTGCTAATTCTCGGGATGGCTAATCACTCTCGCCGCCTTCATCCCCTTAGGAGCTCAGGAAGTGCAGCGAGGGGGAAAGTCAGGGCCTCACACGCAAGGCAGCAACCCACCTTTGATTTCTTTGGTAAACTTTACCCTTTGGGAATCTGTCAGAGGTTTCTGTTGTTCTTCAATACTTTTAAAATCCAAAACTTCACAAACAAACTCAATTACTGGCTGTGCCTTATAAAATGCAGTTGCTGAGACTGTAGGTGGAAAAAGAGAAAAGTAAAAGCTGATGTGAGATGTGCCCAATGGTGCCCCTTGCAGGCCGGCCACCTGGCTCTGTTCCCCCATCCCCGGGGTCCACCTCTGGGCCTTAGGGTGGGACAGAGCCAGAGGGGGCTGCCCCATACTCCCTCTGCTCAGGGCCCAAAGATAAAGTCACCGTCTGAGAATAAAATTAGGTTTAAAATGAAACCCCACCAGATCACAACAGCCATGACTGTGGATTTTCTGACTGTCTCCTGGTGCAGATCTCTCTGAAGCGTACTGTTCCTTGCGTGATCCAACCCTGAGTCTCCCGAGAGGGCAGGGCACCCTAAACCCGGAGGAGACCAGCCGGAAGGCAACAGACCAGGCAGGCCCCTAGCCAGCTATCCCGCACTCCTACCAACCAGGCTGCATAAGGAAAAGGCGAGATGGTGGGCGGGCCTAGCGGTGGGAGGTCAGTTCACACCCCCCAGAGACACTGGCCCTGCCTGGTGGACAGAGGCAGCAGCATCTGGGAACGAGTCAGGGACGCAGGCCTGTCTCAGCGCCCCGAACCTCAGTCTCGGGAGCGGGCCCTGCGGGTGGTTCTGAGGATCACGTCCCACAAGCAGGTGAGGAAGGCCAGGTGTGGCAGCATCTGAGGCTCGGGCGGAGGCCACCCAGGCGCTGGCTCCCCCAGGTCTCAGCCCCTCGGTGACGCTCCACCCCCCCCCCCCCGATGACAAAGACTGGGGCTTCGCTTACCGTCGATATTTAACATCATTTTCCAAAGGGAAGGGCGGACGGACTGGTGGAAGCCAAACCACACTTCCCGGCCCCCGCCAAGGGGGTTGGAGCAGCCCTCGGACGCTGTAAAGAAGGAGCGGCCCACAGGGGTGTACCTGAAACGAGACCCCCTGTCTGATCAGAAAGAACAGGCTGACGCCAAGTTTGCTGCTCATCGTGACAAGCAAGCAGGCAAACACTCACACGTGCCAACGGTTCCGCCGTTTTGACCGAACTGCACTTTGCAGGCGTCCGTGGCCGATGCTGGGGAGCACTGTTTAAGGCGCAGCCTTGGGGACGCAGGGCCTCGGCACGCGGGGCACAGGGGAGCAGCTGGTCTCCCACCCACCGTGCTTCTGGATCCCCGACGCGGGCTCTGGCTGTGCAGGGCCCAGGGCGCACAGGGTGTCCCTGGCTTCATCCGTGTTTCTGACCCTCCCCACCCCCCACCCCGTACTTTAATGCTCATCCTCCGGGGCTTAGCTGTGCGCAGCGCTTCACATCTTTCTAGGACAGCGCAGTGCTGCGTGTGCAGGGACGGGTGGAAGGAGCGTCTGCCAAGTGGCCGCCGCAATCAGGCCAAGGCGGCTGGGAGCCTGGCTGCTTTGCCCAGGACCATGTTGGGACGTAGAACCCAGCATCCATTCCCTGCTCCACGCAGCTCCTCTGCAGGGGAGGCTCTCAATATGGGGGGGGCGGGGAGCTCGGCCTCCCAGGCGGGATGGTAAGGTGGATGTGTGGGAAGACCCGCACGCCGTCCAGGGCCCGGCTGCCCACAGTGCGCGGAGGGCAGGATGCCGCCTGCCACACCGAGCAGCTGCACCAACGTGCCTGGTCCCCCAGGACGCGTCCTCACCAAGGATCCAAAAGGAAGATGCTTCTTTTAGGGGTTGTATTATCCACCTACAGGCTGCACTATCAACCGGATGGTGGGGATGGTCCTCTCTCTCTCCCCCTGACCCATGTTAATTCCGCCACTTTTTCTATTATTTTTCCAAAATGAAACGAGACTTTCCTCCTGATTGTAAAAGTAACATGGTAATTAATTCAAAACTCAGAAAACAAAAATCACAGTAATTTCCGCCACTCATTTGAAAAATGTATTCAACATTTTGGCAACTGCCTTTCTAGATTTTTTTTTTTTTGCACCCACCTGCCTTCCTGCCAACAGAAGTTCCAAGCAGTAGCAGATTATACCCCGGGGGCCGGGGGGAGGATCCCTGCTAGGAGTGACACCTGCCCGGTATCTGGTTGCCCCCCGCCAAGTCTGGAGACTGAGAACATCAGGGTCCCCTTAAAATCCAATGAGGCACCCCAGAGCACCTTCTCTCACCCCTACAAAGGGACAAAGGGAGCCCCACTCCCTCCTCAAATCTTAGAGCTTTGTCAGTACAAGGAGAGGTCAGCAAGGAGGCTCATTTCTCCTGTCACTGGTTCATTCAAACGGTTCCCGAGGCCCCGGCAGGTGCTGCACACATGGGAAGAGCAGGTGGTCCCAGATCAGACCCCGAGGTCTGCGTGTGGCAAAGCGGCCTGGCTCGTACGAGGCTGAGACACAAGGAAACAGTGCAGCCCTGCCACCTGGCAGAGTATGAGCCGTTCAAGTGTCCATGCACCCTCTGTCCCAGGAAGTTCAAGTGTGGCGGTTTGTGGAATAAACCAACGGTCCGAAGCATCGTGTCGCCTGCGGTCTCAGCGTCCTTCATGCTGTGGGTGCTCCATCAAGTAGGATACTGGGAGTATCACTCTACTATTACAAGTCCTACCCGTGAAGGCCACAGACACAGAACATGCTCATAGTATCAGGCAAGTGAAAAATCATGCCCACTGTGCACAAAGACGGGCAGACCATCTTTTTGTTCCAGGTTGAGAATTCCAGTGATTTCCTTTTTTTTAAAGTAATCTCTGCCCAACACGGGGCTCGAACTCACAACCCTCAGATCAAGAGTCACGTGCTCTACTGACTGAGCCAGCCAGGGGCCCGTGGTGATTTATTTTTATATTAAAAATGTTTCATGTTAGTATTGCTATAATTTCTATCATAGAAATCCATGGCCATCACCACCCCGACTCCAACACCTCATTCATCCTTGCACAGAGATTTCATATTCTCCAGGTAATGCTCAGGGTCAGAAGCAGATGCTCCCGCTTCCTTGGACCTCACCTCATGGATGGCAAATGCCTCATGACCACATCCAGGGCCTGGATCGTCTCGAAGGGGACGCTGGGCAGCCGCCCCGAAAGTGCATCGTGTAACGCCTGTAAGCTCACGCAGGACACCCACTTGATGGACACCTTGAAGATGCGGTCTTTCCCTTCTCCAGGCAACGTGACCTCCAGCTCCACCTGTGAGGAGATCCAGAGCATGCGGTTACTCACACTTGCCCCTTAAGAAGCCACTGGGAGGGTGAAGGTGGTGCAACAGCCCTGGGTTGGGAAATTCTAGCTCATCCTTTATCCCACCAGGCACACATGGGCATGGGCACCGTGACTGACACGGGACCCAGGATTTCTGCCTGGCCCTGCACACAGAGGCAGCTTGGAGAGGCAAGCAGCGAGAGACGGTATCATGAGAAATCTCCGCCAGAGCGGGGCGGGGGGCCCAGACGGGGTGGGGAGACACAGGCAGGGGGCCTGGGAGCCAGCCGAGGGTCCTGGAGAGTTATTTCCCAGGGGAACTGAAAATGTTGCAATGGGTCTGGGGATTCCCATTTTCTGGGTCCCTAAGGAATCCACAAACTAGCTTTGCAGTGAATAAACCATGAACAAAAAGCCTTCCTAGGACAGATGTGTGGTAAAACAAACAGGCAAATGCTAACCACTGCAGATTCTAGACGGGTTGGCACCCGCCTACAATGCATCCACCTTTCCTCTGACTAAACAGGTTCACGATGAAATGTGGGAAGATCAGAGAATGTGGGTGGTGGGGACTCGCACTGGGCTCTTCCCCACCGTTTCCAGAAGCTGTTCTACGGGACAGTCTGCGACCCAAGGGCATTGGCACCTCCACATATAGAACATGCAGAGAAAAAAGCTTCCACTACAAGACCCCATCAGAATCTCCTGGGAAGAAATTAAAATTCTTAGCCAAACGTCAGAATATTTGCCACAATAGTGCTCAATGGTCTCCAACAGCTCCGTCCAACAGAATTTTCTGTGATAACGGAAACAGTCTCTTCCTGCGCTGCCCAGGACGCCAGCCACTGGCCCAATGTGGCCACTGAGCACTTGCAGTGTGAACAGTGTGGCCGAGGGACTGAATTTTCAGCTTTGTTAACTTTTCATGAATCTGCGTTGACACGGTCGCGTGCGGCCAGTGGCTGGCGTCCTGGACAGTGGTCGGGAGCGTGCCCCCGTGACTCACTCCCTGAAGCAGACAGTCTCCTCCCAACTGTGAGGCGCCCCTCGCCCACACGCCTGGCTCCTCCTGGCACCCAGACCCACCTTTACCCCATCGCTTCACTGCACCACTTACGATCCCGCAGCTCAGTGGCTGGTAACTGAGGAGTACATCCCGAACACATGGCCCACACAGACCCCACTCAGGTGGTGACTGAAACATGCCATAAACATCGAAGCCAATATTTGTGAAGTGTCTAATGTGACAGGTCACGGATTATATATATTTTATCCTTAAACATCCAAAGATCCCAGGAAGGAAGACTTCATTCACTACTTTTTATATGTAAAAATACAGATGTTCAGACTAGAGGTCCAGCCCACTCCCCACCTGTCACCGGGGGGCCGCCACCCTCAGGGCAGCACAACACAGATGTGCCCCCCCAAGGCCCCCCAAGCCTGCGAGTCCCGGGAGGAAGAGGGTTCCGCCCCGCTGCCTGTGCGCCTGGAACGCCCTCCCCCAGCAGGTGCCCGGCAAACTCCGGGGCGGGAGTCACGACCCAGGTCAAGCGTTCCAGCCGCATCAGGCTCCTCCCTGCCCTCCTCACTCCCTCCTCACGCAGCAGGCCTGCAGGCCACTCTCCGCTCCTAAAGCACACCTTCCCTCACGCACTCACCACACCACGTTCAACCGTCATGAGAGCTACAAGCCGACCGCGTGCACCGAAGTCACCTGCACGCCTGTGTCCTGGAGGACACCTGCCCAGCAGCCCTCAGGCCACCGCCACGCCTGGCAGCCACTAACGGCCCATGACCCAAGGCCCAGCGCGGAGACGGCAGTGAGAGAGAACAGACACTTCCAGGCGCACGGACCTCAGGATGGAAGAGCGAGCGGCACCGAGCCACAGGACAAGGTCCCTTCCGGAAGGAAATGATAGATGTGATGGTTGCACACACAGCTGCTAAAACCAGGAGGACCAGAACCACAGTGAGCCGTCCCCTCACACCTGTCCGAAAGGCTAGGATCAAAAGACGACCAGGACAGAGTGCCGGCGGGGACGCAGCCACCGTGGCAGACAGTACAGAGGGTCCACAAAAAGCGAACAGCAGGAGCACCACACGGTCCGATCCAGTAATGCCACTACCAGAGATCTACCTGCAGAAAATGAAAACACTAATCTGAAAAAGACATGCGTCCCTGAGCGGATCACAGCATTATCTTCGATGGTCAAGACAGGAAAGCAGCCCAGGTGCTGCTGACCAACGAATGGATAAGGAGGTGCTATCCATGCATAATGGAATATTGCTCAGCCATCAAAAAGGGGGGGTCTCTTGCCATTTGCAACAACATGGATGGATCTGGAGGATATTATGCTAAGTGAAACACACAGAGAACGACGAACACCACAGGATTGCATTTATATCTGGAATTTAAAAAACGAACCAGGAGAAAAACGGAAACAGACTTGTAAATATGGAGAACAGACTAGTGGTCACGAGAGGGGAGGGGAGGGAGGCTGGGTGAAGTACATGGAGGGGATGAAGAGGTACACACTTCTGGGTATAAAATAAGTAAGTCACAGGGATGATCAGTGCAGCTCGGGGAATATGGCCAATACCGTCATGACCTGGTGTGGCGACAGGTGGTGACCACACTCATCATGGGGAGCATTTTGTAACGGACAGAATTGTTGAATCACTATGTTGTATACCTGAAACCAATACAGTGCTGCATGTCCACTATACTCCAATTAGAAATAAAAGTCTGAAGATGCCCCCCCCCGCCCAATCCTGCGTGACTAGGGCCGGCAGCCTCCGTGGGAAGGGCTGCGCTGGGGCTCAGGCACGCGGAGAACCTGTCCTTAAGGAGATTAGAGTCTGGCCTTGAGCACAAATGATGTTTTTATGAAGTAATGAGGCATTCAGATAAACAAACCAAACTTTTCTTTGCAAGAAAAGCACTGCAATACCATTTTGCCACGTCAATTAAGAAAATGTGAAAAAAAGTTAAAAAGTGGTAATTACAGGAGGTGATGGATGTGTTAATTGTGGTGATCATTCCACAACATATACATATATCAAGTCATCATGCACACTTTAAATATATGCCATTTTATGTGTCAATTATACCTCCGTAAAGCTGGGGGAAACGCCTCCACAAGCAAACTAAGGGGGGGTGTGGAAGGGGTGTATTTTCCTTCAGCAAAAGATACTTCTACCCATGTTTAAGGGGGTTCCGGCCCGGCCTCCTTGTGGCCCCACACAAAGGGAGCAGAACCAGCTCCAGGCCCCCCGAGTCTGCCACACACAGGGTGCCTCGAGGGGCTGCCTGGCACGCCTATCCGACAGCTTCGGGACAGTGGCACCTTCAGAAGAAATGCCCCATCACGGGGCGGGGCGGCGCCAGCCTTCGGCTGTGACGCCAGCCTCAGGACACCCTCACGTCGGTCTGGGCCCCGGCCAGCAGAGTCCGTCCACACACCAAGATACTTCAATTTCTCACCAACCTGCCGCTCTCGGTCCCAACAACGCAGCAGCCCAAGGCCGCTGACTGGAGGTGGTGGGACGCAGGGGCTGCCGGCTACACCCCGGCCCGGAGAAGTGAGAGTCAGGCTCTCCAGACAGACCAAAGGCCCACACTCTAAGTCTCCAGAGCTGCCCCGGGGGAGCCCCACGGGGACACCTACCCCGCGAGGAGCGGGAGAAGAGCACCGTCAGTGACCGAGAAGCCGTGGACGGGGGAGGCAGGGGTGTTTCCACCGGGTTCTCTTGTCTACAACTGGGCTGTTGTGTGGCCGAGGCCCGGGAACTCACTGCCACCTCTTCCGGGGAAAGAGAGGCAGTATGGGCAGGGCCCGGGGCCACCCCCCACCGAGCCCTCCCGAGCGGGCTGTGCAGGTCACGTCATGGGCGAGATGTGTGCAGGGCGCTGATATGAAAGGCCATCTGTCACTGCTCGGCAACCAGCCTCTTCAAAAGCCAACTGTCGTCCCTCCAAATCACTTTGGACAAAACCAGTCCTTCCTCGTACGTCTGCGAGGGGCGTGGGGACTCAGTCACCCTCATCAGTGCGACCTGCAGGTACCAGCAAGTGGCGGCTCTGCCAGGTGAGAGCCACACCTGCCGAGCACCCCTGACCCGGGCCAGCTGGCTCCAAGGTGCTTGGACAAACGCTGTGGCTCCGGAGGGACCCTTAGCGCTGAGAGGCAGCAGAATAGCCCCAGAGAGCAGACAAGGCTGGGCAGACCCTTTACCTGGATGCTGCCCAAGGACGGGACCTGACGGGTGGTTCCCTGCCCCCACGGCCTCTGCCCTCGCCCCCTGCCTGCCCTCAAACCTCCTGACCCTCGGAGCCAGCGCGGAAGCCTCTCTGCCCTGCCCAGAACCCCCATCACCTGTTCAAGTCAGCAGGCAGTGGGCTTGCGCTCACGGCCCCGGCCTGATGTGCGGCCCAGAGCCGAACAGGCGGCAGTGCCGAGCCGTGTGTTTGTGCAGACATGTCCTCCCTTCCTCGTGGGGTCTCTTACCGACTCGAGTTGTGCCCCTGGCCTGACGTGTGACTGCCTTCTAGGGAGGAGACACTCACGCCTTCCCTGAATAAGCAGAGAGAGACTGTAGCTACAAGAAGCTGAAGACCCAAAGAGGGGTCCCAAGGCTGGACCCAGTGCCAGGAGCAACAAGCGACATACATTCTGATCTCGCAAATCACATTATGTCACTGGGAAGAGGGCCTGGGAGCTAAACCCCAAATGGTGATCAACTCCTACAGCTTCCTCAGTCTCAGATTCTGAAACGTGAGGGCCTGGCCTGGGCCACAGCATCTCTCAGCCCAACCAGGGTGCCTGGCCTCCCACACAGGGGCCGGACTTAAAGTGCGTGCGCTACTTAGCAGGAGAAACAGTAAATTACAAGCGCTGCCTTCCGTGAGTAAGGGCCACGGGCCACGGGCCACGTTTTGTGTGCAGACCTGGACGAGAATCCCCTGCAGCCCCCATCCAGCCACCAGCACACACAGGTGAAGGGGACAGTAAAGGATTTTCTCGGGCTACAGAAGTGCCCATCACACAAAGAAAAGTACTTTACAAAAAAAAAGTAAAAGAAAACAACAGCAAGAGACGATTTGCCATAAGAGGTGAGTATCTGGGAGCAGGAAAGGGGCCACATCATATCAGCTCTTAAACTGAAGAGATTAACATCTGCATATCGCAACTGTTTGACAGAAACTGAAAAATGATGGGAAGCAGCGGTCTGGGGCAGGCTCTCCATGCTCATCTGCAGAACGCACAAAAAGGGGGGGTGAAACTTGAGAGCATGGAGGGCACATCCTGACCTCTTAGACCACTAACCACACCCAGCAGTCTCTGCTGGCCGTGTTGTAATTAAGTACTTGAAACCCTGACGATTCTAAGTATGATTTGGGACCAGCAGTATGGGCATCACCTGGGAGCTGCGTCGTAGAAATGCAGACCCCCCTCCCCCAGGTCCTGCATCAGGGGCACATGCAGCTCATCACTGGTGGAGATCCTCTTCCTGGGGGGGATTCATTCAGTTTTCACAAGAACCCTGGGAGGTGGCTTCTGTACACCCCCCCCCCCCCGCCCTGCTTTTATAGATGTGGCACTTGGGGCTTTAAGATGGCTTCCTCAAGGTCCCACCCCAGGAGAGGGCAACGCAAGCACCGGAATCAGGTCCTGGTTTACCCCAGAGCCTGGTTAACTTCTATAAGGACAAGTTTCAAGTTTGAACACTGTATCGACTCCCCCACTCCTTCTGAAGGAAAATGTTCCTGTGCCCCGCCTAGTGTCTGATTATACATGTACAGATAAACTGGGAATAAACTCCTTATGCTTTTTCTTACACAAGTTTAAACAAAAACAAACGTGCAAATTAAAAACTTCATAATCAATAAATTTCAAATGCACCAGCATGTTTCTTTACAAGGCATGATCCCAACTCAGTGGACAGGCAAAGGGTCCCGGGACTCCCTCTAATTCAGAATGCCAATGTCAGTCACCCCCACCCAGCCCCGTCATGCACCACTGTTATCTCGGGATCCCCTTGAGACCAGCTGGTAAGGAGCCCTTATCACGGCGTGGCCTTGCCTCGGCCATAACGTACTCTGTTATCAGAGCACGGCCAAGTCCGAGCTGTGCCACCCAGCGCCAAAACTGCCTGGTCTCCTGGCGATTCAGACGAGCGTAAGGAACTCAGTCATATTGAGATTATAAAAAAACGGAAAAGCGAAAACATTTCATGGCTGCGGAGAACCTGCATCTTGCTGGCCAGCAGGGTCTGTAAGCACCAAGCTGCACTCCTTCCCAGGGACCCAGGGGCTTAAGAAGTTAATTGGGCAGGTCATTCTCAAACGGAATCAACTTCACTGCTCTCACTGGGACACTCGTGAAGTTACTTATTTCTCTGCTGTGTTTTTTTGTTTTTTTTTTGTTTTTTGTTTGTTTGTTTGTTTTTAAGATTTTTATTTATTTATTTGAGACAGAGAGAATGAGAGGCAGAGAGCATGAGAGGGGGAGGATCAGAGGGAGAAGCAGACTCCCCGCCGAGCAGGGAGCCTGATGCGGGACTCGATCCGGGGACTCCAGGATCATGACCTGAGCCGAAGGCAGTCGCTTAACCAACTGAGCCACCCAGGCGCCCTGTGTTTTTTGTTTTTAAAGTTTGTGTGAAGATTATTTCTGAGCTGAGCTTTGCTCTTCTCCTATTAATAAACCATCCTGGAACAGCCCATTTGTTGGAAGATGTGCCAAGAAGTGACAACTTCTAGGCAGAAATTGTATTACTCTTTAAGTAAAGCCATGACAACAAAAACAATAAGAAAAGGCAACATTTTAATATTAGCACTATCCCTGGTGGTTACTGATCAGTGATTATCATTCAGCGGGAACCGTGGCTCAGGCTGGACCTCTGCTGGATCTCACGGCCACCATCACACACATCTCAGCCCCGCAAACATGCTCTTCCACGGGTCTCTACAGTCCCAGCAAGCTGGGCTCTGGTCTGACGGCGGCGTGTGGCGCAGGCGCCGTGCATGTGTGTGCACGGGGGTGGGGGGGGTGAGGCATGTGCGACGTGTGCTGTCATTCTGAGAAGCTCTCGGCTCCTGTCTCTGAACCTGGCTGACCCCCCCACCAACACAGGAGAGCACAACACATAGAAGTAGTTTCTACAGATCTCAGGATGAAGCACACAGCAACCGGCCGCTCTTTCCTCCCAGGTGACTTAGTATGTAACAACACGTTTGAATTTTACCTCATTGCACATCGTCTGATGCAAACGCATCCCTGTAAACTTACCTTATCCCTCCCAATTGGAAGGGGCATCGCTGTGTAGAGATTCTTTCTTCCATCAAACACTGGTTTCCGATCCCCAAAGATCTGTGTTTTAAAGTGCTGGACCATATGTTCCACTATTTCCCTGAAATAGGACAGAATTCAAGCAAAATGTCAATAAAATCAGAGAAATGGCATGCAAGGACAACATTCTTCTAACACCGGTTTATGAGCCATTTTCTTAAGACCTGTGGCTCCTTCTAGTGAGATGACTTTCAACGTCCTTCTCTAAAGACTCAGATCAGAACCTTCAGTGGGCTGACGCTCACTCGGTCGGTCAAACACGGGACAGCCTCCCCCACGCCGGGCACCCTGCACCCTACATCCGGCAGACAACACATGCACCCAGAACTTCCTGGGGTTCCTGTTCCCAAAGCTGGAGGATCGGATACCATGTGCTCTGCAGGCTGACTCTGCAGGATCGCCCACCAGAGCAGACACCACCCCTCCCTGGTCGACACTGGGTGCTGGCTCAGCTGTGGCCTTGCTCTGGTCACTGCCAAGTCCAAAGAGGTGACCCACGCCGAGGCTTTCCTGGGGTTTGTGTGTCTGGCTTGGCCTCTTGTGCTCCTGGGATCTACTGTAAGTATGCACCCTGGGTGCTGCTGCCCTTTCATGTGGGCTCCAGAACAAAGACCCTAAACTTGCCTCACAGCCCAGGGGCAGCCTGACCCAGCCGGGACGGTCAGGTGACCTGCAGGGCCATGAGCACGAAACAGGATCTCTGTTGTGACAGGCACTGAGATGCTGGTGCTGCGTGTTACCCGGGCATCACAGCGGCAGAAGTCCAACAAACACACAGGAACCCTTCTGTTTCGGGGCTCCATAGGCAGACTAGACCTGTGCCCCACCCCCCCTTGCCCACTGTGCCTGCCTGGCCACAGCTCAGCAGGGAGGCATGCAGGAACACACTCTGAATGGCCAGAGACAGCTCAACTATCCCACTGGCTCAAGGCTCAAGGAAAAGCGATGCCCACCCACCCTCTCTGCCGGTCTTCTCCAAGAGGGCCCCACTTAGCACCTCTGTCAGCATTTCAGGGTGGTTTTGAGGCATTCTGATTTAACTCCCCAAGTACTTGACTCTTCTTACACACAATGCCTCATAAAATACAGACAGGAAAGGCCGTGATACCGGCCTGGCCCCCCGAAGGTCCCTCGTAAGGGAAAAATGCAAAGGATTGATAGTGAATAGACTGGGACAGGCTCCAAATCTCAGTCATTGTCAGCAGCTCATGGGATGTGGGAGCAGGGCAAGTGGGGTGAGGGGAGGGAGAGGACATCTGAGAGACCGCCCCCAGCAGGGCAGATCTGAGCTCAGCTTGGTTCTAAGGATCTTTCTCTCTGGCCTAGAGCTTTGGTCATCCTTCAGGAAGCAAGAATTCATTCCCTTCCTTTGCCAGAATATGAGGACAGCTGGCCTATGAAGGCTTTCCTTATTCAAACTGGCTTTGCCCAGTCGATCTTCAACTGGGCTCATCACAGCCGATGAGGCGCTAGGGAGGCAGCCAATCCTGCCCAGACACCCAGTGCCTAAGACATCCCCGGGGCAAACAGAGCCTCTGGGCATCATCTTCTCTGATGGTTCCACCGAGAACGCACCAGGCCTCTAACACAGTGTGGGACATCACAGTGCGCCCCCAGCCAGCAGCCACAGTGCCGCGTCTCCACACGCTCCTCTGGGCCATCATCAGAGAGAGGCTGTCTCCAGACCACCGCTCGCCAAGCTTCAAAGACCCCAGCTTCTCGGTCAAGGTGTCCCTATCCACTCAAGCTCCAGACAGCTCTATGGAGAGTTCCACCCACACCCAAAGAGCAAGTCATCCAACTGGATGCAAATTTATTCTGGACAGAATAAAGAGGACCATGGGCTAATCTCACTTACAAACACGGATAAAGATACAGCTGACCCTGGAACAGGGCAAGGGTGAGGGGCGCCAACCCCCTACACAGTCAAAACCCCACATATAACTTTTGACAGTCCCACAACTTAACTACTAATAGCCTACCACTGACCAACACCGGTATCCGAGTGGATCAACACTCATTTTGTATATTGTACGTCTCGTATACTGTAGTCTTACAATAAAGTAAGCTAGAGAAAAGAAAACGTTATTAAGAAAATCACGAGGAAATGAAAATACATTTACTTTCAGTACCATATTTATTGAAAAAAATCCACATAAGTGGACATGAGCCGTTCAAGCCGGGTTGTTCAAGGTCCACTGTATTAACAAACTGAGTTCAGCAACTCATGAAAAATGACACTGAGTCAACGTTGGGCAGATACCAAGAATGAAAGGTTGGACTTAACTTGACAAAAGTAACCAACACAAAACATATTACAGATATCAAGTAAAATCTACAGCTGCAATGCTTCTGGAAGAAAACAGGAGAAAAATCTCTAATGACCCTTGGGATAGACAAAGATTTCTTAGAACACAAACAGTATGAACTGCAAAAATAAAATAATAAATTCAAAAACATCATCAAAATGAAAACTTTTACTCTTTAAAAGCTACGGTTACAAAAAGGAAAAGACAAGACACCGGAAGCAAATATTCGAGAAACACACACATACATGTCTGACAGAGGACATGCACACACAGTATGTTTTAAAAATTCTTGTAACTCAGTAAGACAAACAAGTGAACTGTAAACAGTGGGGAAAGGCTAAGAACAGACACACTGGAAAAGCTGCTACAGGAACGGCCAGTAAGCACACAGAAAGATGTTCCTCGTTGGTCACTGGAACCACGAGGAGACCCCAGCACGCACCCACTGGCTCTGGCTAGCATCCCAAAGACTGCCCAGGCCGGGTCAGCGAAGGCCGGCAGGGACAACAGATTCACCTGGGGCTGCCATGAAGTTACAAGAGTATGGCCACTCTATGGGGGAAAGCTGGCCATTTCTGATAAAGGCCAATGGATAGTCACCACGTTATCCAGTAACACCCAATAATTACGTAAGAGAAACGAAAGCACATAACTACATCAACACTTGTATGCAAACGTCTGTAACAGTCCCAAACTGGAAACAGCTCATACGTCTGTCAACTGGTGAACAGACCGATTAGGGCACAAGTTTATAACGGGACACTTACTCCATCGTGTGGATCGCTAGCACGTGCAAGCCGCTGGCCGCATCTTAGAAATGCGCTCGGAAGGAGGACAGTACAACACGGTTTGCGCTGCAGGATCCACTTGCAGGGGACTCTCTCAAAGGCCAAAATGAATCCTCAACAGAAGGCTCATCAGTGGTTGCCTCTGGACAGGGGCGGGGATAGCTGCAAAGGGGCCGGAAGGAGCTTTGGGGGAGTCAGAGCGTTCCCCACCCTGATTAAGGTGGTTGTCATATGTGTACACACGGGTTTTTTTTTAAAGCTCATTAACTATAAACTAAAAATGGATGCATTTTGTTGTATGTAATTATATCTCAATAAATTTGATTTATATTTTAAAAAACAGATGTAAAAAAATTTTAAATTACAATTATCTCAAAGATATAGGAAAAAGCATTTACTAAAATTCAACACCTATTCACAATTTTCTTTTTTTTTTTTTAAGTTAGCAAACTAGGAACAGGTGGAAACTGTCCTTCATCTGGTAGAGCTCTCCCTCCGAGATGCACAATAAAACAAAGATGCGGCTTTTGCCGCTGTGTCCAAAGCTGGACTACAGACCACGGGCACCACAGAAGGACAAGAATGGGAGAAGGACTGTAAAGATTACTGGTGGACATTGGTGCTGTATTTGTTGAAAACCCAGGCGAACCTGCAGAAAAGTGCAGTCCTTGCCTTTCTACCTGTGTAATTCCAGGGCCCAGTACATCGCGGATACTCCATGAATGCACACATTTCCCCCAATTACTAAGTCTTTATTTGTTCATTTACTCACTCACTCACTCATTCATTTGTTCGCACTCTCAGGCGGGCGGTGAGGAAGGGGAGGAGCTTGTGGGCGAGGTCAATCATCAAAGAAACCCAGGAAGCCCAGTTTCACGCACGAGTGCAATGAGGGAAGGGACTGGTATCCAGTATTCGCAGCACTAAGCTGGGGCCCACGCCACTTGCCTCTACGAACGCTTACTACCCGGAGTTGAATCCAACGGTTGGCATGACAGTTCCACTCACGTACCAAACAGTGGGCTCTTCTGCGGCAGGAGTCACATCCTACGCACTCAGGAACTGTCAGCACCTGGCAGAATGTGGCACACGGCTGGGGCTCAGTAAATATTTGGTGAAAGAAGGAAGCCGTTCAATCACTGCAGGCAGGAGTCACCCCAACATACTACAAAGCAGCCCTGCTCGGGCGACCAGTCATCCAGAACCCTGGCCGCCACAAGGATGGAGAGAAGACCCCAATTATCACCCATGTTCTCCTCCCATGCCTTAGTGGCTGACTCTCGTGGCAAGGAGGGCGCTGTCACCTTGTACGATCTTGTGCAAAACATAAATAGGGATCATACCACTTAATTTTTAAGACAGGATGCCCACTAATTGTAAAATACGGAGGTCCCTTCCCTTCATTAACACTGACCGGCTCCCTTTGGCCAGGAACTAACTTTCCTTCCTTCCTTCCTCCCTGTCTCTTGGTCTCTCTCCATTTTAATAGTGGTGCAATAAAGTAACATAAAACTTGCCATTTCAGGGCAACCCTCTCGGGTCGCCTCCCTCTTGGGGAGCTTTGCACTGCTGTTCAATATTCCTCAATAAACTTTGCTGCCCACAAAAAAACCAAAACAACAACAAAAAAGCCCCTCAAAAAACAACTTGCCATTTCACTCACTGTTCCATGTACGGCCCGGCGGCATGAGGTACGTTCACACTGCTCTGCAACCATCACCACGGCCCATCTCCAGGCCTTCCTCGGATTCCTCAGGGGTAGGCCTGCACCCATTAAACAAGAGCCCCAGGGACCTGACTTGACTAGCTGCTCCTTGGCAACTGTTGGGAGACTTCTGACAGCAACTACCTGGGGACGTGTGACTTGCTGGGTCTCTTGTGTTTAGTTCTTCCTTCTTACCATGTTTCACCCTGCACTACAAGAGTTTGGCTCCCAGGACAAACACCTTTACTAAACATGAACC